ATCTTTATAAGTTAAAAACTATTCCTGTTGAAATTATTTAATTATTGTGAAACTGTTATACTAAATAATAATAAAATATAAATCAATATTTCCAACTCGACATTTTTGACTGTCCTAAATGCTGTCGCCTTGGGGAAGACATGGATTTGCCCCATATTTCCGTCTGTCCCGCACTCATCTCCACTACTGTGTGTGGACGCTACTGGGAGGCTAGGGCCCGTATGGGCTAAGCATGTCACTATGCATTCTATTCTATTTATCTCCTTTTACCTTGTTTTTCTTGTTATTTTATCCTTTTTGTTCTTTTAAATTGGCCTGCCTTTGGAAATAAATAAATAAATAAATATATCCAACTCACATATATTCCAGTTGACTTTAATAGGTCTCTCAGGTGGATGGATTTATGCTTGAAAAACCATCCAATATCAAAGCAAATAAATATTCGATTGGCAAGAAAATAATTTTAGTTGGTATCAGATTGTTATTCATTTGTCAATGTTAAAAATAGCGGTGCAGTCTGTCTCGTCAAAGTTTCCGAGAAATACTCCAGCGGTTCTCAATTTTTTTCGGCAGTGGAACGGGGAAAAAATCAACCTTTTTTTTTGGAGGAAACTCGACTTTATAAATAAAGTATATAAAAAAATTTGAAGGTATTGATGATTAAAAGACTTTTTTGAAAACATTTAATATATTTATTAGGATTTTAAATTTGGTTTTATGTCCGACAGTTAAATTCGCGGTTTTGGGCTGTATCTAGTCTATGCAATAAAAGATACACCGCAAAAAAATTTTAAAAAAATCTGAAACGTTTCTGAATATATGTTGCAGTTACGGTTCATATAGTTTTCAAGAACGTTTCTTAATACAATGCTCAAAACATTTAAAAGATATTATAAGTCTTGTATAAAATAACGATATCAGCAACTTCTTTTTGTTGTTGCATAAAATGGAAGAAAGGAGTCACAAATGCAAATTTCTCTTATTTTCAAACTTTGAAATATGCAAACTTTGAGTTTTACGTCGAAGAACACGCTTTAATGGCAGCGAATTTGATTTAACTTTCAATTTAATGCAATATGAAGCAGAAAAGAATGATCGACATTCAGTAGGCGCGTTGTTTCGATGAGCGCGATATCTCAACGAAGTCAATTAACCGAATCAGAAGTTTGCCGAAGTGTTAGAAGCCATTAGAGTTTCACAAAGTGTGATTTCTAGATTTTGCACTGTCGTGCTCGCAGGAAGTGAGCAACAGTGCATGAAAACTGGAGAAGAAATAAATGGCGCAATATTCTTTTCTCTGACGAAGAGCGCCAGCCTTCCATTGAGATGAACCGGGTTCAAATCCCAGGGATAGATGGTTGATATCAATTCAACACCCGGGTCTCACCGATCACAGTGCTGACGTAAAATACCCGCATTGGTTGACAAATCGTGGGTTAGAGTCCCCTTGACGCCAGGCTACTCGTGAGAAGTTTTCTTGATTTACCTCTCCATGTAACGCTAATGTGGGTTAGTTTCAGCAAAAAGACCTCGATGAAGGCAAATTACCCCCAATACTTCAACTAGGAGTTTCCTTGTCTTCTAGATTGGATTTAAAATTACAAGGCTACGGAGTTTAACATCGGTTGTCGTAAATTTAAAAAATTGGGTCAGCTCAGCAAAGGTTGTGTTCAACGAGGGTTATAAAATAAAATTAATATACCAATTTGAAAATGTTACATACGTTTGGAGCAAAAACCATTCTTGGGTAATATTACTTCGAATTTTTGTTGAGCACTTTGAAAAATGTGTTTTACAATTGTTTTAACTACTTGAACTAGGAGTTCCCTTGTCTTCTAGATGGGGTTTAAAATTACGAGGATACGGATTTGAGCATTAGTAGTCGTAAACCCAAAATTGGGTCGGCAGCTCAACGACGGTTATTAGATAAAATCCTATAACTTTGAGAACGATAACTCTCTTATTTAAATCGTATTTACGTCCGTGTCTCAGTCCTATCTTCGATAAGATGCCTTTAACGCTAATTTTCAGTAGAATTATGCACAACCGCGTATTGATCGTTCTGTCCTATCCTTCTCTGTTACAGAACAGTTTGCTGTCTTTGACAACAGGTTCTCTTCATCTCTAAGCAATGTGTGGTCTGAGAATTCGAATAGTAAGATACAACTTTGACATTCTGATAAGAAGATGTCATTCTGATAATAAAATGCCATAATGCCATTCTGATAATAAGATGCCATAAGTGTATGAATGCTGATATCATGGTCCAACATTGCAATTCTTTGTACTAATTTCTTTGAAGCAAAAAGCCCTTGATTTCTTTAAAAAATTAATTCGCAATTGTTTTTTACAATTTAAGTATCTATTAAATAGCTCTCATTTATCTGCATGTTTTCCTGGTTCTGCAATTTTAATGGTCAGTAGTGCATATACTTTAAAAATATTATCAAGTTTTGGACACAAATATATTAAAATATTAGCGTTTTTTTTTTCTGTTTTAATCACTGCTTTTTAAGTTTGTCAGACTCTTGGGAATCCTGTTATAGGTTTTATGGGTACGGAGACAACACTTTGACACATATTAGGATTATAATAGTCTATAGTTTTATGAGGTGAAGGTAAGATAGGTAGAGCTCCAACCCACCCAGGGGGGTATACGGAGATAAAAAGTTAAATTATTACATTAAATATTTAAGTTAAAAACCTAAAAATTCAGTAAAATTTTGCCAAATGACTGTGGTGGTGAACAGTTAAAAGCCAATTAACTAAAAATTAAGGTAATTAAAAACATGTTTTAAAAGCAATGAAAGCTAAAAGCGCCGGTGTAAATGTCAAGAATATCAGGTGAAGTAAAATATTTCATGATGCTGATTTCAATTTCATTGGAATAACTTTCACTTTATAAATTCAAGCATTCAAGCTCATATTTCGTTTAATTCGCAAATAATTTCAGGTATTTACAAACTCATTTAACACTTTCTTATTAAACGCAAGAGACAATTTTAATTTCATCTACACTTTTTTTAAAATTTTTATGCTCAACTCCAACACTTATACAAGGTTTATTCAGTGCAACGATTGCAAACTTGGAAGGAAATTATTGAATAGAGTAGCAACAACCATGTTCAAAGATTTTGCAGCACGTGTGGCCGCTTTCTAATTATGGGNCGTATTTGTGAACATTTATCTCTAGGGGTCCCCAAAATTTTTCCTCTACAAAAGGGATCGCAGTCGAAAAAAGTTTGCGCACCACTGCTCTAAAACACTGATCTATTAGCCTTCATTGTAAATTTGAAATTCATATTGTGATGATTTAATGAGATTGCTATTTATTAAGTTTCTGCTTGTTGGCGCTTGCCTATTCATTTTAATTATTTGCTGTTAGTGCATTGCATTTTAATTATTTGCTGTGAATATTGTGATCTTTGGAATAACATATATTTGTTTAGCATCAAAATAAAATATTCTGGTAATTTCAAACTTAATAAAATTTAATATTTTTAAATCAATTAAATCAGGACCAATTTTTTAACTTTTCTTGTTGTGTACGAACTCCTTAATAACACGAGAAAGCCTGATTATTATATTTGAAGTGAACTTTTTTATGAATGCACTATTTAAAAATTTGTCTTATTTTTTCTAATGCTGCGTTAATGTTTAATAATAATGAATTTATGAATTTATTTAAATATATACACAATGTCCATAAAATTTTTTGAATATAAGCTCATAATGTATTATATAATAATTGTTTTCGTTCGTTATTATAATAGAAATATTTTTATTATTATTCACTTTTTTAATTAATTGTTTTCCTTTTTACAGGCGATGGTAAGTATATCAGCTGTTGTTATACATTAAATATAATTATTTTTTATGTATTTTTCTACATGCCATTTTTCTATTAATATTGTGATAGTGTTTATCTATATTTTATTTCAATTAAATGTTTAGTTTAACTTAAAGTTTTTATAACTTAGTATTAAGTCAAAGTTTGAAAGAAATCCAGTAAAGCAAAGTTATTTAAAATAAGTATGTTTCCTTATCTATCTACATATACTCGCTGCAAAGCTAAAAATTATCAAGGCTACGACCGCCTGCTTATAAAATTTTCTAGCGTTGCCAAATGGTGCCTTTTATCAGTTATTTTTATGACTTGTAAGTTAAAAACTATTCCTGTTGAAATTTTTTAATTAGTGCGAAACTGTTATACTAAATAATAATAAAATATAAATCAATATTTCCAACTCGACATTTTTGACTGTCCTAAATGCTGTCGCCTTGGGGAAGACATGGATTTGCCCCATATTTCCGTCTGTCCCGCACTCATCTCCACTACTGTGTGTGGACGCTACTGGGAGGCTAGGGCCCGTATGGGCTAAGCATGTCACTATGCATTCTATTCTATTTATCTCCTTTTACCTTGTTTTTCTTGTTATTTTATCCTTTTTGTTCTTTTAAATTGGCCTGCCTTTGGAAATAAATAAATAAATAAATATATCCAACTCACATATATTCCAGTTGACTTTAATAGGTCTCTCAGGTGGATGGATTTATGCTTGAAAAACCATCCAATATCAAAGCAAATAAATATTCGATTGGCAAGAAAATAATTTTAGTTGGTATCAGATTGTTATTCATTTGTCAATGTTAAAAATAGCGGTGCAGTCTGTCTCGTCAAAGTTTCCGAGAAATACTCCAGCGGTTCTCAATTTTTTTCGGCAGTGGAACGGGGAAAAAATCAACCTTTTTTTTTGGAGGAAACTCGACTTTATAAATAAAGTATATAAAAAAATTTGAAGGTATTGATGATTAAAAGACTTTTTTGAAAACATTTAATATATTTATTAGGATTTTAAATTTGGTTTTATGTCCGACAGTTAAATTCGCGGTTTTGGGCTGTATCTAGTCTATGCAATAAAAGATACACCGCAAAAAAATTTTAAAAAAATCTGAAACGTTTCTGATATATGTTGCAGTTACGGTTCATATAGTTTTCAAGAACGTTTCTTAATACAATGCTCAAAACATTTAAAAGATATTATAAGTCTTGTATAAAATAACGATATCAGCAACTTCTTTTTGTTGTTGCATAAAATGGAAGAAAGGAGTCACAAATGCAAATTTCTCTTATTTTCAAACTTTGAAATATGCAAACTTTGAGTTTTACGTCGAAGAACACGCTTTAATGGCAGCGAATTTGATTTAACTTTCAATTTAATGCAATATGAAGCAGAAAAGAATGATCGACATTCAGTAGGCGCGTTGTTTCGATGAGCGCGATATCTCAACGAAGTCATTTAACCGAATCAGAAGTTTGGAGAATAGTTGACTGGTTAAAGGGAGGCCAAACACAAGCCGAAGTGTCAGAAGCCATTAGAGTTTCACAAAGTGTGATTTCTAGATTTTGCACTCGCAGGAAGTAAGCAACAGTGCATGAAAACTTGAGAAGAAATAAATGGCGCAATATTCTTTTCTCTGACGATGAGCGCCAGCCTTCCATTGAGATGAACAGGGTTCAAATTCAGGGATAGATGGTTGATATCAATTCAACACCCGGGTCTCACCGATCACAGTGCTGACGTAAAATATCCGCATTGGTTGACGAATCGTGGGTTAGAGTCCCCTTGTCGCCAGGTTACTCGTGAGAAGTTTTCTTGATTTACCTCTCCATGTAACGCTAATGTGGGTTAGTTTCAGCAAAAAGACCTCGATGAAGGCAAATAACCCCCAATACTTCAACTGGGAGTTTCTTTGTCTTCTAGATTGGATTTAAAATTACAAGGCTACGGAGTTTAACATCGGTTGTCGTAAATTTAAAAAATTGGGTCAGCTCAGCGAAGGTTGTGTTCAACGAGGGCTATAAAATAAAATTAATAAGCCAATTTGAAAATGTTACATACGTTTGGAGCAAAAACAATTCTTGGGTAATATTACTTCGAATTTTTGTTGAGCACTTTGAAAAATGTGTTTTACAATTGTTTTAACTACTTGAACTAGGAGTTCCCTTGTCTTCTAGATGGGGTTTAAAATTACGAGAATACGGATTTGAGCATTAGAAGTCGTAAACCCAAAATTGGGTCGGCAGCTCAACGACGGTTATTAGATAAAATCCTATAACTTTGAGAACGATAACTTTCTTATTTAAATCGTATTTACGTCCGTGTCTCAGTCCTATCTTCGATAAGATGCCTTTAACTCTAATTTTCAGTAGAATTATGCACAACCGCGTATTGATCGTTCTGTCCTAGCCTTCTCTGTTACAGAACAGTTTGCTGTCTTTGACAACAGGTTCTCTTCATCTCTAAGCAATGTGTGGTCTGAGAATTCGAATAGTAAGATACAACTTTGACATTCTGATAAGAAGATGTCATTCTGATAATAAAATGCCATAAGTGTATAAATGCTGATATCGTGGTCCAACATTGCAATTCTTTGTACTAATTTCTTTGAAGCAATAAGCCCTTGATTTCTTTAAAAAATTAATTCGCAATTGTTTTTTACAATTTAAGTATCTATTAATTAGCTCTCATTTATTCGCATGTTTTCCTGGTTCTGCAATTTTAATGGTCAGTAGTGCATATACTTTAAAAATATTATCAAGTTTTGGACACAAATATATTAAAATATTAGCGTTTTTTTTTTCTGTTTTAATCACTGCTTTTTAAGTTTGTCAGACTCTTGGGAATCCTGTTATAGGTTTTATGGGTACGGAGACAACACTTTGACACATATTAGGATTATAATAGTCTATAGTTTTATGAGGTGAAGGTAAGATAGGTAGAGCTCCAACCCACCCAGGGGGGTATACGGAGATAAAAAGTTAAATTATTACATTAAATATTTAAGTTAAAAACCTAAAAATTCAGTAAAATTTTGCCAAATGATTGTGGTGGTGAACAGTTAAAAGCCAATTAACTAAAAATTAAGGTAATTAAAAACATGTTTTAAAAGCAATGAAAGCTAAAAGCGCCGGTGTAAATGTCAAGAATATCAGGTGAAGTAAAATATTTCATGATGCTGATTTCAATTTCATTGGAATAACTTTCATTTTATAAATTCAAGCATTCAAGCTCATATTTCGTTTAATTCGCAAATAATTTCAGATATTTACAAACTCATTTAACGCTTTCTTATTAAACGCAAGAGGCAATTTTAATTTCATCTACACTTTTCTTAAAAATTTTACTCTCAACTCCAACACTTATACAAGGTTTATTCAGTTCAACGATTGCAAACTTGGAAGGAAATTATTGAATAGAGTTGTAACAACCAAGTTCAAAGATTTTACAGCACGTGTGGCCGCTTTCTAATTATGGGCTGACTGTTCCTGCACATTTAAATCTCTACTTTTGTTCAAATCTGAATTATCTTAATTTAATGTTTTCCAATATCTACTGTCAAAAATAGCTTTCAAATAGATTTAAGCTAGTTGTTTTAGTGTAGTTTAAAGATTTGTTAATTAACTGGCAGAGCTCACTAAGTAAGTTAATTACTCTAAAAAAATAAACACGGGCTCTGCTTAAATGCAAATCTTAGCAATATTTTTTCGAGAACATAAAACTAAGACAATTTAGGCAAATAAAAGTACTGGTTCAAAAAGTTCCTACAACGTCTATAATGAGGAAACATCCCAAGCGGTGTTCTAGGACAATTCTTGCTTTGAGTTGCTGTAAAATTCTCGTTTCTTTTAATTTGCTCTCCAAGTTTGTAATAACTGAGCTGGATCAAAAATTGTAAATGACATTATTTTTAATTTGATTGCTTTTTTTTATTGTAGGTAACGACGATGCAAAATTGACAGACTTGACCCGTAAGTACATTATTTTCCTCGAAAGCTCACATTTTCAGTCATGGATTGCCTGTTTCTCTCGATATGTCCTATTTTCCTTCAAGTTCAAAATCATTCACCTGCATCTTTATAGCATTAAATTTAATCTGATTACTTTTTATTCTTATTGTAGCTATCGTGGGTGACCTTCGTAAGTATATTTGTTTCCTCGTATAATGAAATTTCCGAATATGTGTTGCTGTATAGCTATTCTTTATGATGTACCCAAGGAGCAGAAAAAGGTAGGAGATGGCTTGGCGATCAACAATTTGCTGTTTCTCCACCAAATCACTATTGCGTCCAGCATTTCTGACTCTCATCATACAAATGCACTAAATTTCATTATTAAAATAATTAATCCGTGGCGGCTAAGGTGGTAGAGCGTTAGTCTTCCAATGAAGTGTTCGAATCCCAGCCATGGCTGGTCGATACGGATTCCGCACCTGATGCTGACCATAGTGCTGACGTAAAATACCCTCAGTGGTAGTCCGATCATGGGTTAGAGTCTCCTTGCCTTCTGGTTTACCGTGGGAGGTTTTCGTGGCTTTCCTCCTCATGTAACGCAAATGCTGCTTAGTTCCATCAAAAAGTCCTCCATGATGGCGAATTTCTCCCCAATACTTGATCCAGAAGTTCCCTTGTCTTCTGGATTGGGTTCAAAATTCCAAGGCTACACAGTTGGACATCAGTAGTCGTAAGCCCGATATTGGGTAGGTTGTTCAACGACTGTTATAAAATATAAAATATCAAAGTGATTGACTCGTCATTTCCTTGAAAAGTTTGAAATAAATCAATTTTTGTTCGTTTGGAGTCTTTGCTTTTCTATACAGGTACAGAACAAAATAATGCGAGCACTTCTATACTAACTCTAGGTAAACAATCCTTCTTTCAGCAGCGAATGTGAATGTTTTAGAAGATTTCACATGGCAAAACAATTTCAAAGCTCATGCCTGAAGCTTTTAAAAATTGTATCACTTTCACTCGTGGAAAATTTGCCTCGACTAAAATTAACGTAGGAAGTTAAAAGCTTTTTCTTTTCATTTGATACCATTATAATTCTAAATCTGATCGTATTTGAATATCTCCATCCAATAGACTGGTATTAATGCTGGATAGAACTTCTCATTTTGTTTGATTCAAAATATACATGGGGTAATTAAGTCACCATTTCTAAAAAGCTTTCCAAGTGCCCTAAGTGTTTAGCTATGTAAAATTTACTGCCTAAATGAAAAATTGTTTATATAGAGTTTGTTCCTGCAGCATGAAAAAATAACGAAATTCAAGAATCGTAGAAAACTTGAGTGTTATAATTTTTCAAATATCGAGTAACTTAATCGTTGTTTATTCCCTTCCTCCAGGTGTTTTAAATATTTTTTCGGTTTTGTTCAGAATAATTTCACTTGGTTTAGACTTGTGGGTTAACTTAAAGTGATTGAATCCGCTTTTTTGAAACTTTTTTTAAATAATATTTGAATTTTCTTTCAAAAAGTTTAATTTTTTTCTCACATATACAGAGATTCCAACTTTTTTCGATTGGTTAGAAAGATTTTTCTAGTAGTAACAAAATTCGCGCTTTTTCGTATTTCGTAATAAATACTTATAATGTAAATAACAGTGTAATACTACAATAAATATGTGATTAATATATTTTTTGGTTTAGGACTGCTTGTGTCGATCGGGGAAAAAACTGATAAAAAAAATCATTACAATTTCGATAACGTTTTTTTTTTCCGTAGGAAAAAATACCATGAAAAAATTTGAAACTCACGACTTAATCACAGTTGTAACAAATGAAATGAAATATATTTGAGAGTATAAAAACTTCATTAACTTCAAAAATTATTAAGGCTGCAAAAATCGATGTTTCAACTATATAGTAGAATAAGCGTACCGCTCTACTTTTTCATCTCACACATCAAAGCATCATCATTAGAGTTCCTTCTGTCCCGTGATCTATCTCTTTCGGCGATTTTGTATAGATTAGAAGAGAGATATCAAGAGAGAGACTACTTTTGATTGGTCGAAAGGAAAAATTTCCGCAGGTGGCTTGTTTGGAAAATTCCCCATTTAAATGACGGGGAAGGGATGTCGTTTGCTATAAGAAATTAATATTCTGGCTAAAAGAAGAGTTGCGTTCAAACTTCATAAATTTTTTTTTTTTTTTTTTGCAAAAATAAACTTTATAGTAATAGTAAATGTAAAAATCATTGCAAAAAAGATGTATTATTAGTTATTAGAATTTATTTTTATTGTTATACTCTTTTATACACTTAATATCATTTCCAGCTCGTTGTAAAATGAACAAGTTTGTAAAATAATTCTTAAATGAATTAATTCTGTCTAGCAAGTTTCAATCTACCATAATATTTTTATCGAAATTACTAAGTATTATTTAAGATACTATGAGTTTCTGTTCGTTTCGCTCACCAACCCCCGTGATTGCTTCTTATTCATCATTGAAGATCAAGAGGAAAGAACGGTATATTATGTAATTTTTTTTTCAAAAACTGTGATTGGATTGCCATCTGTTGAATTTTAAGGATGACTAAATATTGGGAGAAAATCATCAGTATCCCTTCTTCTCTTTTTAATTGTAGAAAAATGCAGATATAGAAACTAAAAAAAAATAACTATTTTTATTCCTTGGTATAGTTGTTAATTGCAGCGCCACATGTATTCATACTTAAATGCTATTAAATGTGCTCAAATTATCAATTTACTAATCATATTAATTTTTACTCAGTTGGTTTTATCCAAAAAGCTCTGGAACCTTTTTTCAACGCACTCGCACCAATTCTGCAGTCCGTTTTTCCCGGTCTTCCGTGAAATCTCCAGGATTGCCAAAGTAAGAAATTTTCTTCTTTTTTGCAATTAACTTACCATCCATGTCATTTCTAACCTCTGATGTTTTGTCGTAAATTCTATAAAACAAATAGATATTTTATAAGAACTTTTGTCAGTTTACGATCGAACATTTTGTAGATGTTTCAAATATGTATTAGTAGTGGCGTTCAAAATTCTTTTAGATCTTATTTACCATCAGACTTTGGTANTTTAAAGCTCTTTTTAATTAAAAAATAAATATCTAAGGATAGAATGAATGGATTTTAAAAAAATGTATCTCATTTTACGCGGAAATAATTGTAGTTTTTGATAAAATAATTATAATAAAGCAAATGTTTAAAAAATTTAATTTTTATTGCAAAATTAAGTTGTAAAATGAATAACAAAAATGTTGTTAATGTCGTACAAAGTTCAAACAAAATCCATTTTAAGGTAAATTTTGTTCTGAACAAAATGGCTTTTCAAAAAAAAATGGATCGCAATTCCATGAAAAGTTATAGCTTTTTTCGCGAAACGCTGCACCACGGCTCACTCTGTGGTCAGCGCTGATTACCTCATGAGCTGCGCATTTTTTCATGTTTATACTCGAATTGTAACTAGCGTTTGTTAAGGTAATTCGGAATGCTGATCTGCTTGATAATAATTATCAAAAAGTAAGTTTCAATTGTTATTTAACTTAGTAATATCAACTTTAATAATAATTATTGTTTTTTTAAACATAAAATTACATTTCTAAGAAATGCATTAATTCTAAGAATTTGATTTGTATATTTATCACGAAATTTAATTATAAACTTACAGATAAAATCAAGAAATGGTGAACTATTGCTGCAACCCGCTGAACAAATTAAAGAATCGAAGTGTCTACAAAGCTTGTGACAAAAAATTGGAGTTTGATATTTTCAAATTTAATAAATCAATTCATATGCGATTCGTGTAGTCGGACAATTTTTCAGAAAAATATACCCGTAATAATTGCTCATGAAAAAAGTAATTCTATTCGTAAATTTGTAAATAATTTTAAATATTAATTTCAAATTAGATAATTCTAATAATTAAAATGTTTTGTCGATTTTAGAAAATAACGAAAATATGGTATCGAATTGTTCGGATGAGGAGTGTGATTTTGACGCTGCGAAGAAAGCTCCAAGCGTTTGTTTTAAGAATATTGACCGTCAAGAAAATTTGAAAAAAGTAAAGCGAATTTTGCAAAAATTCAATGATATATCGAAGCAGCAGAAAGTGTCTGATGAGGCTGGTAATAAAACGGCAAACTTCTTATTTGATGTGTTGGAGAAAAGACCAAAACAATCTAAATAATTTGAAATGGGCAAGAATTTGATTACAGAGATAAAAAAATGCGTTAAACCAGGAAAAAAATCATGCCAAAAAAATTGAAATTTTGACTACTTTGCCTCAGGAAGTCGGCATTGGAAAAATGCAATTTATGTAAAATATATTCTCCTAGTTCCAAGTTTGTCCTCAAAAAATTATGCAAATAAATTATAAATAACTAATTATTCACCTAAAATTATAAATTATGAATTTATTATTTAATACAATGTTTGTTATTTTGTGAAACTTTAGTTGAGGTTTTTAAATTCCCTCCAAATTAACTGATACAGCGCAATTGAGCGATCAGCTGAGTGGAGTGGCAGAGCGTGCCGCGGTGCAGCGTTTCGCGAAAAAAGCTATAACTTTTTATGTAATTGCGATCCATTTTTTTTTGAAAAACCATTTTGTTCAGAATAAAATTTACCTTAAAATGGATTTTATTTGAACTTTGTACGACATTAACAACATTTTTGTTTTTCATTTTACAACTTAATTTTGCAATAAAAATTAAATTTTTTAAACATTTCTTTTATTATAATTATTTTATCAAAAACTTCAATTATTTCCGCGTAAAATGAGACACATTTTTTTAAAATCCATTCATTCTATCATTAGATATTTATTTTTTAATTAAAGACAGCTTCAAAATTTAATTGTTATTATCTTGTAAAATAAATTAAATAAAAAAAAAATCTTTTTGGGCTATTATTTTGTACAATATATACTCGTTAATAAACAACAAAAAAAGTAAAAATTATGATATCAAATTTTGGGTGTTACCGCTATTAAAATTTTGACTCATATACAGAGTAAAAGATAGTGACCATAAAGGGCGCTTTTTCATTACACGACAAGATAACGACAAAACGGATCCGGTTGTCGGCGAACGACATAGAGTCAGCAAATGGAGTGCTTTTTCACTCACCGATACGATAACGATTATGTCGTATCCGACAAGGCGATATCGTTTGTCGGAATCAAATGTTGGTTAGGCAAGCAAGTTTCTCCTCAAATCATGGCGATTTTATTTGTTATTGTGTATCTTTTCTGTTTCATCTCCTCTTTTGATATCATTATTTTATTCTTTTAATCAATTTTAATAGTTTATTTGATCCTGTCAAATGTAAAATTTTAAAATAAAAGTTTTGTATAATGTATTCTCATGTCTAGTTATGAATTTTTAATTTTATGATGTAGCATTTTTTACATTATAATGAGGTTGAAAGACTTAAACAATCATAAAAGTTTTATTGAAAATTTTTATAAATTCATTATATGCTTTAATGAAGAGATAATATTTTTTATAACAGTAATGGTTTGATAAGAAGGCAAATAACGACCCTTATGTATTTCAAACAGAATTCGATCTAACTACTGGTTTCTGCTTGATTGAATAATAAAAAATCTGTTCCCTGATTCAACTGAAACATTTTTTGAAACATGATAGAGCGGCTTCATAAGATAAATTTGGTGAAACTCATTTAAAAAATCATCTAAAAAGATTATTCTAAATGAAACTAATATTTTAATTCGATTATAAAAAACGTTAATACCTTAAAACATTTAAAGAATTTAAGTAATGTTAAGTGATTACAGACATAAATTAGCGAGCAGACGCCAACTCAAAAGCCATATAAAAATTATTCCTCAAACATCGCTCTTGTTCTTGGTTTCTCTCATTCAGACGTAATTAAAAATTTTATTTGGGACTTTTTGTAGCTTATGGAAAAGCACATAAAAATCTTCTTCAACATATCTTGCCTCATTTATTTCGTGGGTACTTACGTTGTTGCAGAAGTTGTGCTAATGCGCCAATAAAAAGCAATCCTGTTGCTCGCACACAGCAACCCCGTTTTCGCATGCAGTTATCTTTTGGATTCCTTGTTGCCTTGTTTTCTGATTTCTGACGCCATTTTTAATGCTACGAAAATGCATCTTTGGGGTTTGCCAAAAACAGAACAAGATGCGATTTTATTTTTTCAGTAGCGAAATATTTTACCCCCCCCCCAAAAAAAAACGAAAATGTACCAATTCCCATGACATGAAACTTTATTTTGGTAAACGTACGTTTTGGAAATGTAATTTAAGACAGTGTGATCAGCAAGTGGGGCTTAGATGGCAGCACAATTTATTCTGACAGTTGGAAAGGTTATCAAACAAAGAGAATAGAATGATTCCTACTTGCTAAGGTTTATCATAAATACAAATACCTTTGCAATTAGGTATATGTATACATTTTATTAATCCTGATACAGGAGTTCATAATACACAAACAGTTGAAAGAATAAGGGGCAGTGCTAAATGGAGGAACAAAAGACATAGGGGGACAGCGAGACATCATTTGGAATCTTATTTATCAGAGTTCATATGGCAACAGCATCTGAAGAAAGAAAAGAGACTGTTTCGAATATATGTAAAACTCTATATCGGCCCATTTTCCACCGAAATCCGATTGACTACTTTGATTTTAAATAAAGTGTTTTGAATTTTTAGATTTTCTATTAAAGTAAAGTTTTTTCTTTGAATTTAAGTTTCTTCTAAAATAAAGTAAGAAGTTTGAGACGACGATTATCATCCGGCATATTTAAAGTTTGCAGAAAAAAATCACAACAGAACACAAGCAACTGCTCACTCAAGCTCAAAACATAGAAAGAACAAGAATTTCTATTTCTCGGACGAACGATATCGGACAAGTGAAAAAACAATTGCTTGAACGATCCGGCAACGACATTGCCATTCACCCATTTGTCTTCCAATTCTGTCGGTATCGTGTCGTGTAATGAAAAAGCGCTCTAAAGCGTTGTAAGTATCTGAATTATTCTGTGCTGACAACTTCAATCTTCATATGCACACTTATCTGTTTGTTTTAAGGAAGGCTTGTAATTCATTTTCAAGTTGAAAATCATAAGTACAATTTAGAGGTTACGGTAGGATTTGAATCCGCTACCTACACTCACTTGGCGGATCGATAAGCTCCCTCGGAAAGGAGGCTTCACTACCATTTGTTTCACAGTATAAACCAGTATATATATTAGAACAGCCGATTTTCAATGGCCTTATGTAAACTTATTTTTATTAGTAGCTACATAACTTTCAACTTTATTCCCTCCCAGATCATTATTTCATGCTGGAGTTTGAATATATATATATATATATATATATACTTGGTTATTATTGGAAGTGGTGGTTAAAACTATTTTAAATTAAATTTATGAATTTATGAAGCTAATAATTTAATAAAAGAATATAAATTCACTACCAATTTATTAAAACTTTTGCATTAAGCGGAACAGCTGTTTGCATCTTTGATGATTCTTTTAAAGTGTTTGCTCAAATTCTGGATGGTTTTAGTGGTTCACCACACTTTAAAATATTTTACGAAAAGCGTAACAGTTAGCAAACTTGTATACATTATAAACGTTAATAAATAGCGATCGTCATGGATATTTTATTTCTGAAAAATAATTTAAAAAGGAAATAGTTTTGGCAACAGATTTTTTTCCCCGGGTGACAATCAGCCATGGCCATATTTGATCTTTGTAAGAGTACTCAATGAAAAATTTGTTTTATAATTCTGGCATTTCTTTTTCAGCTAATGGCAAAAATCACGGACTAATGCTGGAAAGACAAAAATGATATAATCTTCTGTTTTGAGTGTTATGTTAATAAATCTAATATTCTACACATTTAAAAAAATAAAAAATTTGTATGTCTGTCTGTTTGTATGTCTGTATACCAGATTGCGGGTATTAAGATCTAAAAATACATCATTCAACTTGGATCTAAATAAGTACAATTGTAAAAAAATTACGATGCACGATTTTTATTTTTTAGCTATATTTTAAATTCAGAGATAATTAAAAAAAGGTATTTTCTCCATGGCTTAGCGTAAGCAATATCTCAAAATATGCTACAGACGATTCGGTGTTTTATTTATTTATTTATTTATTTTTAAATATTTTAAAGACAATACCAGTAATTTTTCAACTTATAACTTTATTCGAAGAAGTTCATTGTGCTTTCTGTAATATTTAATTGTATAGTATTCGTTGATTGTGGTGGCGCTAGCAAACTACTTCAGCAAATTATTAATCGTAAGGTTACCTGAATCCACGTGTTAATTTCGTTTATAGTTATACTTTTAAACCATGTTTTTATGAAATTAATTAATTTAAAATAATCCATGGTAATTGAAATAAAAAATTTTGTACTGAAAAGCAAAATTAATGGATAAGTGGAATGAATTCGGTGATTGTGGTAGCGCAGGCAAACCACTTCAACAAATTATTAATCGTAAGGTAACCTGAAACCAAGTGTTAATTACTTAATTTTGTTTATAGTTATAATTTTATAATGTGTTTTTAGGAAATTAATTAATTTAAAATCATCCATGGTAATTAAAATAAAAAAATTTGTACTTAAAAGCAAAATTAATGGATAAATGGAATGAATTCGTTGAGAATAAACATAAAAAACACCAATATTATTGTAGACCCCAATAATTGAAGCAAAACACTAAGCTATGTACTATAAGGAAAGATTAATGCAGAAATGTTATTAATTTGTTCCCGAGAGTTTCAAAAATAGGCAAACTATTATTGATGTCAATGATACTTAATTAATTTTGGTAATAGGTATTAATTGAAATAAAAAGATAAATTAATGGAGAAAATTCATTAGTAAAAGAATATACAAAATATAAAATTCTAAAATAACAGAACTTTCTCTGAAAGAAACGAGCTTAAGAGCAGCAAAATTTTCAAAAGAAAGAATAATTGAAGCAATAAAGAAAAAAACAATGGAAATAAAATAAAAATAAGCATTTATTCTTCACAGGGAACCGTAAAAAATGGCGATATTGTTATTAAATTCAATGATGCTTAATTTTAGTTATAAAAACTATTGGCACCATGGTAATTGACGTAGTTTTAACAGTAGGTACCACATATATTCTTATATAGGTGCAACGCGATTTCTGAGTAAATTTGATGATGATTACAGTTGCACAAGTATTGTAAATTTTTTTTAAAAATCTTATGATAGATATCATACGGATCCTCAAAGGTAGAAGTACTGGAGAATGTAGCTTGACTGTGGTAAATTTGAAATAACATAAGTTGCCTTCAGCAACAGCTTTATGCCAGATGTTTATTTTAATGGGATAAACTACTAGAAATGTATTTTGCTTAATCTAACAACGTAAAGTCACTGAAAAGGGCACCAAATAATTATAAGTAAATAAATAAAACATTGGAAGCATTTTAGCTTTTTTATTTGTGTTGGTAATTGTCAGAAAGTTTTGTGCACAATTTTGTGGTGTTTTTTAGTACTGATTAATTGATGTTTTTTTTCCACGCCATACCAAGCACGGGAATTCAGCTGGTACAAAATAAAATAATGATGAAATGAATCTAAATACAATACATAGTATATCCCTTAATTTAATCACTAATCTAATTATCCCGAGTAATCTCTGAACCGTATACAGTAGAGACTAACAATTAATTAATGCATATTTTTAGAATCTCCATGTACTATAATATCTGAATTCCATCTGGGTACTAAAGGAGAAAAGCAATTAATCAGCTATATATATCGCTTAAAAGTCATCATTTTGAACTTCAGACAATGTGTAATGGTTGTAGTTTTTAATTAGATTGAATTTTTTTTAAATATTGAAGTAGATTAGGAAAAATAAACATTGCGCAAGTTTCAGCTCTTTAATTTTTTTTCTTCCTCTCCTACAGAAAATTTCAAAGTTCAAGGCTATTTCCTTAAAAGTGAAATGTAACTATGCTTTAAGGGGTTCATCTAAAAAAAGCAACAACACCCTCTAAGTTTTGTCAAGCTGTGTTATAAGTATATAGCTGTCTAGTTATAGACAGGCACTAGTTTCCATGGAGTATTGTTGCCTTTCAGTCATGCTCTGACAAAAGTAGAGAAGAATTCACTATTTGGCGTTTTTTTGCCCTGAAAGTCTTGGTTTACAGGGCAGAAACATTAGCATCCCTATATCAGCTCACTACAGGGCTGAAACATCGGCATAACAACAGCTTCCCTATATTTTTTTTACTGAATATTAAAGTTCACTAGGACAAGCTCAGCAACCCAGAACTTATTTGACTTATCGATACTTCCACTAGATATAACTGTTCAAACTTTCAAAAAATTCAAAATCTGCATTTTTCTTTATTTAACTTTTTTCAAAACAGCATCGCCGTGCTCAAGAGAAAAAAAAAGAAGAAAAAAGAGGAAGGCTGTTTGTAGAGCTAAATTTTAAATGTTTTTCCGTTGCAAATTACTGACTTATAATCATACTAATATTCATATATTGATACCTACCTATATTTCTTTTAATAAGCGTAACATGTAGTGAAACACTAAATTAAAAGTTCGTAAATAAAAGTTACCANCATACAAATCTTTATGGTAGCCATAGGCTTTTGGGGTTTTGCCATACAAATCTCTATGGTAACCATAGGCGTATGGTATCTTGCCATATAAATTTCTATGGTAGCCATAGGCTTATGGGGTTGTGCCATACAAATCTCTATGGTAGCCATAGGCTTATGGTGTTGTGCCATACAAATCTCTATGGTAACCATAGGCGTATGGTATCTTGCCATACAAATTTCTATGGTAGCCATAGGTTGCCATAGATTACCATAGGCTTCTCTATGGCAAATTTTCCTAAGGTATATACCTTAAAAATCACCTCATCGGCCTGGTTGATTTTAAACAACCTCAAAATAAGCTGAAGTATATATAAAACAACCTCGTAGACCTTAATTACAACCTTCTACGAGGCATAATTTTTATTGCTGTTTTCTCAGCAACCTTAAATATACCTCAAATATACCTCAAATCAACCTTGAAACCTCAAAAACACCTCAAATCAACCTTAAATATACCTTAAATTTTCGTAAGGGAAGCTCTGCGACCCAGAACTTTTTTGAGTTATCGATACTTCTACTAGATATAACTATTCAAACTTTAAAAAAATTAAAAATTTGCATTTTTCCTTATTTAACTTCTCTAAAAACAGCATCGCCGAGCTCCAAAAAAAAATAATAAAAAAATAAAGGAAGGCGATTGTTAGTAAAGCTAAATTTTAAATTTTTTTGCATTGCAAATTACTGACCTTTAGTCACACTTATATTGATACCTATCTTTATTTCCTTTAATAAACGTAATATGTAGTGAAACACTAAATTAAATGCTCAGAAATAAAAGTCAATAAATAAAAGTTACCATCAGGATGGTAACAGAGGAGTAGAAGAGTAACAGAAGGGGAAGAAAAATTCCAAGTCAATTTACTCGGACTGGTTCAATTGCAAAAATAAAAATAAAAAAAGAATGAAAAAAAGACAAAGAAAACTGAAAACCGAAAAGCGTAATTTGATCTCAATATAAAAATACTCCATGTAACAGAGACCCATCGGTTTTACTTCAAATATACGTATATTACACCTTTAAAAAAGAATGAAAAAAAAGAGAAAGAAAACTGAAAACCGAAAAGTGTAATTTGATCTCAATATAAAAATACTCCATATAATAGAGACCCATCGGTTTTACTTCAAAAATACGTATATTACACCTTTAAATTTTTCTAAGCATTCGTAAAATGTATATAAAACTTAAAAGTCGAATTATAACAAAAAGTGGTTAGCCAAAAAGGTAAAATTGTAAGTAAATAAATTCCTTTATTTTGCGCATATTTTTCCTTAATATTAAGTAAGAATGAGAGCTCTATTTTTACATATTATTTATGTCAAAAGTATGTCAAAATTTATGCAGGTTAAAATGTCGATTCGAAGCAAAAAACAGCTATCCAAAAAACGGAAAATTTAATCGAAATTTTATGTAAGCAAATTCATTTTTTAAAGAATATTTTACTAACCACATTTTACTAGGTTGGAATAAGTACATAATTTTTACCTAAGTGTTTACGTCAACAATACGTCAAAACGTACGTAAGTTGAAACGACAAATTATAGCAAAAGTATGAACACTGGGATTGTAATTTTAGTGCAATTTTTCTAGAAACAGAGGGGAAAGGGAATAAAATATCCTTACATTGTCAAAATTTCATTATTTTTTTTAATACAGCAATATGGCAATTTTTAAAAGGGCTGCCTTATCTAAAAATATACCATTCAGGAAGCTATAGGACCCATTTCTGCATACTTAATATAATAATTTAATACAATAATTATTGTAACAGAGTGGAAAAAATCCTGGGACAACATTAAAATGTCTTACTCAAAAGTAATTTTTAAACTGTATATCAGCTTTGCTATGCATCAAATATAACACAACTTTCACAACCACATAAATAAAAATTATTTTCAATAAATAGTTGATTTAATTACAGATGAATTAAAAAGCTGAGAAGGCTGGGACATAGCAATTTTTTTGTATCTGACGAATTAAAAAAGCATTACATAGGTATTATTTTTAAAATACTAATTTTCATGTATACTCATTTACATTATAGTCAATTAATTTGAATGCTTAAAAATGGAATAGTTTTTAAAGAAAATGTAGTAGGTGTTTTTATAAAGCAGACGATATCACATTACAAATTTATTTGTATTAATTAGTTTATTCTTTAGAAAAGAACACTTTTAATAAGAGAAGTTTGAAAAATATAATCAAATGCCGTATCCATTTTCTTCAACACGCTTTTTTTTATCTAGGTCCATTCTCATAAACACACATTTTGAACTGCATCCATTTTCTTAAACGCGTAATTTGAGCTGTTTTATCCAGTATAAAAAGCTTATAGACAAGAAATATCTTCCTTACTTCTTAAATCCAATCGGTGACTACAGAAAGTCTTAAAATAAAATTTTTGCATAAAAGTATTACAGGACCTTAGAAAACAAATACAAAATTAGGTATTATGTTAATAAATTTTCTTTCCCTTCAATGAGGATCCTGCATAAGACTTTTTATTTATTATTATTTTGTTGTAAAGGTTTGTATTTGCAACATTTCGTTTCCCTAGAAAAAGCTTTTCGGTTTTTGTATCTGTCTACCTTATCATAACAATTACAATAAAAATACTAAAACAAGGTTTACCATTCGCTCTTTTTTTATTTTTTTAACCCAAGTGACAATATTTTTGAAAAAAAGCTTCCTAAATCATTCTTTATCCTTCAAGGATGAAAGGTTTGTGATATTGCAATATTTTTACTTTATTAAAAAAAATGTTTTTAACGCAAACATTTCGTAACAATTAAAAGAAAATTCCGACATAGGGTTGCTGTAATGTTACATATTTTCTGCGATAGCTTCTGAGCAGCAAAATAAAGTTGAACACTTAAACAGCAGCGATCTGCATTTTGGTATATCATGTAATTACAATTAATTACAATATGAGTAATTAATTACAATTGTATCCAAGTAATTGGTAGACCGACAACCTTCTACGCGAAGTCGAGCACTCTACGGTAGAACTGTTTAACGAGAACCCATACCGCGCACCCTGGGTCCCTACGCAGGCCAATCAAAATGGTCATCCACCCGCTTATTGACGGCTGCCAGTGATGGTTAACTTCAGTGTTCTACTGGAAACCGTGGCTGAATTGTCAGAACGAAGTTCAAGGAAAAACGCGGTTCTAAAGACCTAGTTCAGCCTTGTCTAAGTTAAACCTAGTCTGAGGTAGGTTTAAACCAGGCAGACGAGTTTTGAACCTCGATCGTTTGCTTATAGTCAGAGAACGACAATCTCGCTTTCGTAGATGTTGACATCTAACATCGTAGATGTTAACATCATTTTAAAACTGATAAAACAATACAGAACTAAATTTAGTTCTGTATTGTTTTATCAGTTTTGAAATATAAATACATGAGAAATCATAATATAATTTTGTGTGAATATCGTATACTTTTTTCTGTATCTTTTAAAGTGTTTATAAAATCTTATGAAAGAATGTATCTTTTGGATCTCGGAGATTTGTTCTGAGTTGACAGTATACTATTCAGTAATTTTTGTTTTCTTGAAAATAAACATTGAGACAATTAAATATCTCACTTGCTGAATGGGGCTTTCTTTTTTAGTGATTGTGTATATTATATTCAACCACTCAGGAGATAGACCTTTTCGGAATAATAAAATGCCACGGATACCGAAATTACAAATTTAAGGATTAAAGAAAGGATTATTTTAATTAAAAATCATGAATGTTTGAATAGACCAATTACTGATCTTAAAATAGTGAGATTGTTAATAAAAAGTACTGGATTCTTTACATGTTGACAATAATTATTACTATTTACTTTATTTGATAGTTTCAAGCATTGATTATATTTTTCTCAAGAGGGGAGTTTCATTTATTTATGAAATTTCTTATCTCTTAACATATTTTTTTTAGTAGCAGTCAACAGATTTTCAAAGCACATACATTAGTCTATCTTTTTTTATTTGTTTGCTACATTTTTCTAAAGTATTAAAAAGAAACATCACTTAGTAAAATGTTCTAAATCAGAGAATAACAACTTCATACCATGAATAAAAGTTACTGTGCATGCTATAATTCTCATTTTTATAAATTTTAACTTCATAAATGCTAGTTACCAGGGGTGGAAGTTGAAAAAAGCTGTGTTTTTAAAACTTAATTTAGAAAAAAAAAATTTCGCAGCCACTTTTCACTTTATTTTGTTAGTGGTGATGAAGTTTTAGTGTGAATTTGGTCAAAGCATTTCTTATTTCAACAAAATTACACAAAAAATGTCAGCAAAAATTTATTTGTTAAAGACTATATTTGTGTTTTTGTAACACTAAGTGCAAAGATATTTACTTAAATAGACTAACTTAATAGAATTTTTAAAAATTTTTACTTGCTTTACTTACTTTACTTACAATATGAGATAGCAAAAATTTCTTCGTTTATGCCATACCAAAATTTTTCTTTGGACTGCTTTTTGAGCTATGTTAAATCACATTTCCACTTTTTAAATTTGATTGAAAATCATTTAAGATGTTGAAAACTGGTTCATCTTGGCACTATCAACAAATAGGTATTTGACAAATAGGTTGTCCGATCAGTTCACTGCTAGACCTCTAAGCAAGAGTTTATCGAGCAAATTAGAGAGTTTTAATTGCGAATAGTATGCAGTGAGAATGCTTCCTCAGGTTGTTTTAACCTGAGCTAAAAGAAAAATTTACTAAATATTAACACAGAAAATAAATTATCCTAATGCATTACTTATATAGCAGAAATAAGTAGTCGGAAAAGTTTAATATCAGTGACAAAACAAACATAAGTGTGTTACTGTACAAAAATTTTGCTCTAAAGAAAAATCTTGAATTGTATTAACAATTTGACAATTTAACTCAGCATGGAAAGCATACCTCAACGTAAGGCAATTTTTCTGATTTAAAATAACGTTTCTAGAAACTTGTGTTCAAAAGCATTTATGTATTTGTACTGAGACAGGTTAATATGGCTGCGACTAATAAAAGTGTCGACTCTAGTGATGTGGTTAAAACGCGTGAAAGTTGCGATGATTCCGAAGATGAAAGTGAAATATTAGAGGAAAGTCCTTGTGGGAGATGGTTCAAAAGGCGTGAAGAGGTTCAACAACGAGACATACCAGGTATCGATGCAGCATATCTTGCTATGGATACTGATGAAGGCGTTGAAGTGGTTTGGAATGAAGTGCAGTTTTCTGAAAGGAAAAATTTCTTGTCTCAAGAGGACAAGATTCGTGACATGTTTGATAGTCTGACTCGTCTGGATCATCCTAACATTGTTAAGCTTCATAAGTATTGGATGGATAAGGATTCAGAATGTCCTAGAGTCATATTTATTACTGAATACATGTCTAGTGGATCTCTGAAGCAGTTTTTGAAGAAAACCAAGCGTAATGTCATAAAGTTGCCTTTACTGTCATGGAAGCGGTGGTGCTCTCAGATTCTTTCTGCTTTGAATTATTTACATTCATGCTCTCCCCCTATAATCCATGGCAATTTGACATGTGATACTATATTTATACAGCATAATGGGCTGATTAAGATATGTTCCGTTGTTCCTGATGCCATTCTCTACCACATAAAAACCAACCACAAAGACTTAAAAAATAAACATTTCACTGCTCCAGAGTACATGTCTAAAACACTTCCTCATCTGACCCAAGCTGTTGATGTTTATGCTTTTGGTATGTGTGCTTTAGAAATGGCAGCTTTAGAAATATCAGCCTCTGGCGATAAAGAGAGCCAAGTTACAGAATGTATTGTGAATAAAACGATTGATTCGTTGGAAAATCATCTACAAAAAGATTTTATCCAGAAGTGCCTTTGTAAAAATCCATGTGATAGAGCAACGATCAGAGAACTTTTATTTCATTCAGTTATATTTGAAGTACATTCTCTAAAACTGTTAGCTGCTCATGCCATTGTAAATTCTGCCATTTACCAACCGGATCAGCTGACCGATGAGGTTTTGTTTGTTAAGTATGACACAGAAGATGTTCTTGCTCACGTACCATTCCAAGGTAAATTACCTGGACCTATGGTAACCCGAACCAAAGCTAAGAAGTTGGAGATAGAAAAATTTCTGAATGATGTCCGGAATGGTATATACCCTCTCACTGCTTACGCTATGTCTCATCCCATCGTACAGAAGCGTCCCTTGTTGTCTGATTCTTCGAGGTCCACATCGATTGCCCCGCAAGAAATTGAAACTCGTAGAATTGTGAATATAATGTGTAATGTTAAACCACAAGAGCAGGGGCCAAACTATGTGTTGACTATACTTCTGAGGATGGATGACAAAATGAATCGGCAGTTGTCTTGTGAAATAACTAAAGATGATGATTTTGCTGGTTTGTCAGAGGAATTAGTATATCACGGGTTTATTAGTGATGAAGATAGAGAGATGGTGGCAAATTTAATTGGAGACACTATTAGCCGTCGCCATATACCTGATCTGCCTAATACCAATAAGTCTTAACAGAATTTGCAACTTTCATATTGCTTAAGAAAATGAGGTTAAACAGCTTGTGAATGAATTAATATTTCCTCTCAATATAAATATGTGCACAACATATGGCCAGCGTACCTTCGAACCAGATACTAATGTATAAACTATGTAATTGCATTAGGGAAGGCTGTAGTTTTTTATTTTACTTTTAAATCTGTTGTAACATTAAACTTACAAGTGTGTAGGACCTAATCAAAATGTTAAAAGATTATTACTTGTAAAAAAGAAAGTAAGTTTAGAATATTAATAACTCAAAGATTTATTTAATATCAAAGATTTATTCAATATCAAAGATTTATTCAATATCAAAGATTTATTCAATATTTAATAATATAAAGTCATGAATAAATTTATATATGCTTTAAGCAATAATATCAGCAAGGAAAGGATTGTAACTTGTAATTTTGTTCTTTGAAAGAGAAAAGTTTAAAACTTACTTTATTCTATTTTAAATATTGACGATACGTTTTTTTTTCTTTCAGCAACAAAAGGTATTTTAAATTATTTTATTATTATTAATATGAATGAAGCAATAAATAACTTAATCATTAGAGACCTGGCCAAATTTTATTTAGTTCGATTCAGCAAAAGCTGTATTGTTTTTTCCATTGCATTTCATTTGGATCAGGTTGTGCATCCTTACTTTATAATATTAGGATATATTTTTAAAAATATTTTTAAGCTGATTAGACTGATTATATGGAACGCAACAATAGGCCAAAGGCTCAGTTTTGTGTTATTATACAACAAAGTTTTCATTATGGGAAATTAACTTATTATAATTGGTATATTATTCTACTTCATGTAGTAATTTTTTAATTAGGGATATAAAAGTTTTATATTATAAAGGATATATTTATCTTGTTAATGTGCTTTAAGATTTTTAATAAATAAGTTAATTAAAAGTATTTACATGTATAGTATATTGGTGAAATTAGATAGTAAAATTTTATTTAAAGTTGCTTAAAATGATCTTTAACATAATATTAGAAATAAGCAAGGATACAGGTATGGGAAATACTGTAGACCGCTGATTATCCGGACCAAGTCTGATCCTGGTAAAGAAAAACTGAGGTAATTGGACAACTTTAAAAAATGGCTTTGTTAATGTTTTTAAGTAACTTCCCATCATACTTTTTCCAGGCTTAGGATTGGCAATTGTAATTGCGTCTATTATAGTATACTACAAATAATGTGTTGAAAAGTTTGAAAATTTTATTGAAAAACTGTTTCTTTATTAAACTCCTTGCCACCCACTTCGAAACTGAGTGGAAAGAACGTTAGGTTCTCTGCAAAGTCACAGAAGGACAAAAGCCATTTTTAAACACCGTTTAAAATATTCTGAAAATAAAAACATTTTTGCAATTATTATTATGAAGAAGAAGAAGATGGGAAAAATGCATGGTCATTGATAATCATACAATCCGATTAATTGGCGTTCAGATAATTGGTGCTCTACTGTAGATATATATATATACATTGGTTATAAGCTTATTGTTTTCTAACTGGAAGAAAAAAATATTTTTCTAGTGGCAAAAAGGTCATATTTAATAAATATAAGTATTTTGTATATTCTATATACTTCTGACTAATGCCTTACATATATATGATAATAGTATGAAAATTTTGTATTTTATGACTGTTATTGTAATTATTTCATTATTTAAATTATGAAATAAGAAATTTTTAAGTTTTAACATGTTTAAAAAACTGTTTTGTCGCTAAATGTTAAAAAAAAATTTTGAGAAAACTTTTTAAAAACAATGAGACATCTCTAAGATGTCTCATTGTTTTTAACAATGATGTCTCATTGTTCAGAAATTTTTTAAAAGGTAATTCTCCAAATTTTTTTAATCTTATTTGAACTAGGTCAATAAATATTTATAATGAAAAGTTTATATATTCATATAACATTTTGGCATATTTTCATTAGTTGATTTGCTACAATATGTTATTTAATTATTTTTAAGAGTTTTTTTTATTTATTGCAACTTTTTCTTTTCCATCCAGTTAGTCTAATGTTATAATATGAGCGTTTATATTAAGTATTAGAATGTTGCTGCTGTTACGTTTGGTGCAATAAACGGTTTTAGGTTCTGGTTGTATTTTGCTGCATTTAACTCAGCTCAGAATATTGGTAATAAAAAAAAAACTAATTTTACTGTGATATCTTTTTGTCTTATTCCATAGCTTTTAATTAAACAAGAGTAATAATTTTTAAAATATGTAGTGACATTTCTCGGCATCTAATTTCTTTATACGTTAACTAATGTGTTTGAGTTAAATCTTTTTAAAAAGTGTTTAATATTCATATTATATAATTGTTATAACTAGAGCTTTGGTTATTTCTTATATGTTTTGAATTAAGTTTGTGAAATATTTATTTTGCTCATAATAATTATGTATTTAGTAATATTTTATCTACCTAGTGTTAACAGAAAAAAATCAAGAATTGTGTTTGTTTTTTTATCTACATAATTTTATAGTGGTAAAATAAATTTATTTTTATTGCAAATCAGTGAAGTGTTAATTCATTACTTTCATTTTCTTAAAAATATACACTTTAACTTCTATAAACTGACATATGCTGTTGCATTTATGATTTATTATTTTTATTATTATTATTTTTATTTTTTTTGCATGCTAAAAAAGTCTTTCACCAATAAGCAAAATCCTAAAATTTTTTGTTTGTGCTCCAAAATTAAAAATTAGTATGGAAGATAATAATAACTCTAAACATTCTTAGAAAAATTTATTTAAGATTGAGTTAAAGTTCAATTAATAGTTGTCTGTGTAATAGTTCATTAAGTTTAAAGGAATTATGATTTTTTTAAAAATTCTTTTTTATTTCTGCATATTTTTAGTTGTTCGAGAGGGCAGAAGCAGAAAGCTTTATCTTTTCTATAATGTCAATTTTTTTAAGTAATGTTAGAAAGTTGCAACACAATTTTTGTTTATGAACAAATTCGTGGAATGGTTAAATCCTTCAAAATTTTTAATAATATATGTATATAACTTATTTTGAAAAATTAGTTTGTGTTGAAAAACAATGGGAAAGAGTTTAAAAATTTTTAGTTTGGTTAAGCTTTAAATTTTTTCTTAGTCAATTGTCTCTTAAGTGCTGAAAATTTTTTTTTCTTTCTGGAAACACTACAACTCTCTTGCCTTAACTCATATTTTTACTCTGTGTTATAGTTACCTATAACTTAGTAAATATTAACTAACTACATCCTCTTTGCACTGGGTGTAGTGATAACAAGGTAGTAAAACTAACATAAAATTGTAATTAATAATAATCACAAAATATAACAATAATTTAACTCTATTAGTTTTCAAAACATAAAAAATATCACTGATTTATCATCTGATGTAAATGATGTTGTAAGGTCTTTATGAGTGTAAACTGTATTTTACTTATAACCTGACAATTAAATTTTTAAATAAAATATTGTCTCTATTGTAACAATATGTTACTAAAACAACTTCAAAATTATTTTTTTCCCAATTCAAAAATAACTTAACTTTATATGCTACAAGTTCATCGAAATGAAAGTTTTAGGAAAGGGATATGAAGAATAAGTTGTTGATTGAACTGTTTTTTTTTTTTTTTTTTTTTTTGAAAATTTTAACCAATTTTCCTGTAATAAGAACATATTAAGCAGAAAAATTATATAAATTGCTAAATTTTTACTGCTGACAGAGTGAATTAAATCTGGACTAGTAGCTCAAATTGATTTTTCATTAGATTTTTATTTAAACTTGATTGATGGGTATCCACTTTTTCTTATTGTAACAATTTTAAAATACTGATTCTTTTTCTGTTTAAATATTTTTGAACTAAGACTTGTGAGTTATCTTGATGTGACTTCGGTATTAAGGTAAAAATTTTATAAAATCCGGGAATTATCCACGATTTTGGTAAAATTTTTAATTATCTGTGATTTTGGTTAAAAAATTATGAAATATATCAAGTTTTTTCCTAGCTTTGGATTTAAGACTTTCTTGTTTGGATTTTTATTAGCGTAATGATTCAAATTGTTTAAATTAAATCTTAAGTAATAGAATTTACTGTATTTATTTTCCATGCTTTGTGTAAAAAGTGATTTGTGAAAAGTGAATCTTTTCCAGATGGAATGTAGCAACCGATCTTCGAAAATCATTTTTTGTTTGTTTCATTTATTTAAATATGTTGTTACATATGGCTTTATTGGAGAAATTAATCCATATACAATGTTCAACTTTAAGTGGACTTAAACAAGGAGTAAAAAGGAACAATTAAACAAGGAGTAAAAAGGAATTATATTTATTTAAATATAAATTATTTTAAAGTAAATATTCATTATTAAGTGCTTTTTTTATGACTTTTTCTTTGAATTCCGTCAAGTGAAACTTTTATCCATTGTGCCATTCTTTCGAATATGTTTTAAACAATAATGTATCACTTATGATCAACGAATTGTAAATTGAGAACTGAAAGAATATATATTATGTCGCATTTTCTAATGATTTAGAAAATCAGTGTTCTTAGTTTGATATGAAAATGCATTATTTTTGAAACAATAAAATTATATAAATGCAATTTGATTTACATAAATAGGTTAAAATTAGCTCAAACAGAAAAGAATATAAAATTTTATTTAAAATATTAATGTGAAATTCTGAGGATTTTCTCCCTTTCCTTTGAATATTTGTACTAAGTTTTTAAAAAAAAAGTATTTTCTTCAAGTCAAATTTAGAAATATGTGAACACATGTATTTTATGTTAAAATAGTTTATTTTCCCTCCTAATTACAGCCTATATTCTTTTTTAGATTGCCCTGGTGTGGATAGTAGTGCAGCAGGAAAAGCTGAAGCATGTGCTGGATGTCCAAATCAAAATATATGTTCCTCATTAAAAAATGATGAACCTGACCCAGGTTTGTGAAGTTGAATTTAATAAATGTGCAATAGCTATTTTCTTATAATTATTTGTGTCATACGAAATATGTTTGACTATTTAATGAAATGTTATCTTACTTTATATACAGTAAAATAAGAGGAGAGGTTTTGATACCCACTCATAATTTCTTATGAATAAATTCGAAACTTATTTATATTCATAAGTATTTGAAATTTTAGTTACATAATAATTTACTTATACAATTCTTATTTTGCTTGTGATGGCATTTAAAACTTGTATGTCTATGATTGCCTTATAATGTTAAAAAGTTATCTCTTTTTAGTGTCATTGTGTAATTTTTGGGGATCCTAGAAACTTGGGCTGAAATTTTTTTAACATTAGCTTTCTAACTTAAAAGTTATTTATTCCCACCAGTTCACTAAAAAGGTCGCCTTGTTTAAGGGAAAACCGCTACTTTGACTATTCTAACAATTCTTGTTTTAATTCAGTTTTTTACTATGTTTATTTTTCATTTTAATGTAATCCATCGTAATTTTTTACTACTCATTTTACGCATTTTAAATTCTTTGCCTTACTTTTTTAATATTATAACCGTCAGCCGAAGTTTAAGTTCACGACTTGCAATGTGTCATAAATATCCTCAGTAGTAGACGGATCATGGGTTAAAAGCCCCCTTGCCATCTGGTTAATCCAGGCAGGTTTCTGTGACTTTCTTCTCCATGTTAGTTCCATCAAAAAGTCCTCCACAAAGGCAAATTTCTCCCACTACTTGATTTAAGGGTTCCCTGGTTTTCTGGATTGGATTCAAAATTACTTTTTTTATTAAGGAACATATTGGCCCTAGTCTTAGTTTTGAAAAATAATAATTTATATCTTTTTATTTGCTTATACACTGGCAATGCTCTTTAATTATAGTGACCCATTACATTACAATGATCCTTTTGTTTTATTGAGTGCTGCATAAAATCCTGTTTGCAATTCTACATAAATAATATTATTTTAATATCCTACAAAATCTCTACACTGAACAGTTCATTTCAATATAGCAACTGAAATTTAGTTATTTGATTGAGAAAAAGTTTCAAATATTTCAACCATCGTTTCCATTGATTTTACCACACCATAAAAATGAAATACCTTGAATTCCCTTTCAGGGAAAGATGAGTGATATGATCTCCTAAATTCTTATCCCAAGTCCTCTGTGGTCATAATTTATGGTCATTTGTTATCTGTATAACTTTCTTTTCACAGAATACAATAAATTTATCACTCAACCTTTTTATGTTTGAAAATCAAATTAGTTTGTTTTGGGAAATATCAATCCCCTTGCATGATTTATTTTTTTTAAATAAAAGACGTGTGGTGTTCACAGTTATCTTATGTATATTATTTATCGTAAATGGCAGTCTAAAATAATATTATTTTTAAGGTATTTTTCACCCATGAATACTCAATTTTCTAAGATCTAACAATCAGATGGCACTTTAATGTGAAAAGCCTTTTTTTTCATTCCTAAGTTAATATTTATGATATTTTTGTGCACTCACAATATATCGACCTCAGGTTACAACTTTTATTTTTGCCCTGACCATAAGGATTGTGATTTTGAGCATTGACTGTATGTACATATATTTATAATTTTGAAATAAATAACGAAAATCAAGCCAGTTATACTGTAAAATTGGTTTAAAAATATTAGATTTATAAATCTTTATTTTTTGCACAGAATTTTTTGTTTCATTCCTAAGTATGCATAATGAATTTTATTTTATTGTTAAATTCATTCATTTTATATTTTTATTGTATCATTCAATATTTAGTTTTTAAGGCTTTTTACAAAAAATTCTAATTAAGTTATTTACTTACTTTTTAGATATTGAAATTATTAAACAAAAGATGTCTCTTGTGAAGCACATTATTCTCATTCTTTCTGGAAAAGGAGGTGTTGGCAAAAGCTCTTTTACTTCTATGTTGGCTCAAACATTGGCTGATGATTTGGAGAAAAATGTAAAGATTTTCTTTTTTAGTTCTGTTTTTCTTTTTTCCCTTGGAAATATAAAATTGCTACTTAAGAAGACTCTTTCCTCACCCTTTCTTAGACACTTCGTGAATTTTTTGATTTAAATCGAATTATTTTTTATTTAAATCATATTTTTTTTATTTTTATTCAAACTCATTGTAAGAACTTTAATTTATGATTAAAAATCCTTTATAAACGTTTAATCAAAATTAAATTAATATTAAAACAATATTATAAGAATATTTTAGAAACTCTAATTTACTAGTATAATTTTTCATTACAATACATGGCTTTGAATGCATAGCAACCATTTTGAAACACATGCATAACTGAAATTTGAAGACTAGATGAAATAGAGAATTTAATGAAAGTGGTCTGTCTAGGTTTTTCTGAGAGGTATTTATTTTGTGAAAATTTCGACATAATTTGTGATAATGAAAAATAATATTAAAAAATCAACACAAAAATGTGGATTTATTCTTTTCTTACGAAACACAAAAATAAAATTTAAAAAAAAAATATTTTGTGAAACTATTTTTTTTCCTTTGTTGATTTCCAAAGTTGAATTTGTGAAGGTACCCTAAGCAGTAGCAAGTTGGACTTGGACAGACTCTTTAACTATTAAATTAAAGTTTCAATCAGCAAACAATAATTTAAATTTAGAATTGTGTTTTTTTTTCTCTTGATTTTTAATATGACAAAATAAATGTAACAGATTGTTCTTATAAATGTAGTCACTCATCAATATTTTTATATTAAAATATTCATTTTTAATTCTATATCAAAATAGATCAGCTAAAAAAAATCTATGCACTCATTGGAATTCTTTTTCACAAAATTTCTTAATAGAAAATCTGATAATGTCAAAGATACTGTAAACATATTATGAGAAAAAAATACCAGTTAATAACTCTACTGCCTCAAATAGACTTTGAAAGGGAAGAATGACATTATATCAGGAAAAAATATCTGAATTCATTAGCCTTTTATTTTTTAAATATATTTTTGGCATATATAACCTCAAGCTTTAGAAATATACATTTTCCACCAATGAAATATAATGTAGATTTTAATTCCATGCGGTTTACATCAAAAGGTAGAATTTTAATTAAGATTATTTGCATTTTTTTCTTCGAAATTCAGGTCTATTAATTACTTTCTACAGCTATGCAAGTCTATAATAAGACAGCATTAAATGTGTATTTTAATCTGTACTTTCAATCTCAAGAATCAAAATACTTTTAAAAATGTCGTTTCAAATGTGTTGGAATTTAACACACACCAAGAAAGAAAGTAATTTCGTTAACTAAAATTAATTAACACAGCAATTTATTTAAAATAAATTTTAAAACTAAGAAAAGAAAATAATAAAAGTATCAATAATTTAAAACACTGTTTTTTAACTTTTAAAATCAATATATATTGATTTTAAAATTGATATAAATCAGATGATTTAAATCAATGATTTTTTTAAAAAAATCATTTAATTGAAATCATTTAAATCGTGATTTAAATCAAGCTGATTTAAATCAACAAACCCTGCTTAGACATATAGACATCATAATAATATTTTTATTATTGTTAAATTGTTATTTTTATTATTTTAAGTTGACTTTGTTATGCAGCACGTATGATTGATAAACATCATCAGTGATTGATTTTTGATTATTAATCACTGCCTATGATATGAGTTCATCCAGTTAATTTGGAGGGAAGAAAATGCAAGTTTTGTTAATGTCTCATATCTGTATTTTTCTATAATTCTTAAAATTTTTACATTTCATAAGAGTTTTAGAACAATAATATGTTTGTTATTTCGATTGTATTTAAGGGATTAGATTGTTTCTAATGAGTTATGAAGTTTTAGATGTCATTTTAAATAATTTTAATAAATTTTATAAGAATTGATACAAAAACATAGGTTTTTATAAGCATTTGATTTTTTGCTTAGTAAAAAGTTACCCATTTCCACCCTTAATAGCTTAATATTATTTTTTATTTGTACGTTTTAATTTCAAATGGTTTTGTTATTTATATCTTTCAAATACAGTAAGATACCCAGTACCTGAATGATATGCTATATTAGGTTTTATACTTACATGTACAGAGAGAGAATGGGAAACCTTTTTCTGTATCAGATACTCTGATCTCAGTTGCCCCTATTATGAGGATGAGGATTCATTGCTATAGCTTATTTTTATTACTAATGCTTAGAAGTTTCAGGTTCAATGATAGGAGGTTTGTAAGATTTTTTGAAAAAATATAATGAGTCATTTTAAAATATAAATTTGCTGTAAGGCTGAAGTACAAAAGGTTAGCTATAACATATTCATTGATTTGATGTAAAACCCTGCTAACTACCGTTTAAGACATGAGAAATATGATTATACATATTACAAAGCATGTTAGATAATTTTATTTAAAAAAATTTAAATATTAAGCTAATGAAAATTATGAGATAAGAGATGTAAAATTGATTGAAAACTTGATATGATGATGTGTGCATCGGATTTTCTTCAAAGTGCTATTGGTAATCTTTACAGCTAAAACGTTTTATGATTGTTTTTGAACACTGTTATAAGTATTAAAAATATGCTATTTTAAAACTAATAAACGGCTTAAATATTGATGTTTTATTTTTTTTTAAATGAAATCTATGCTCCTATAATATTATTTGCTTTCTTACACCTTAATATGATTCTTTAGTATCATTTCCAATACCTTCAGGAGATTGTCTTGTAAATGGTTAATAATTGAGGCAAAAATCATCTTTAAATAGGTAATGTGACTTACTTTCTGACTGTAGTCCTCTTGAAAGGATTCAAACTTTTCTAATGTTTTAAACTTTTACCAGGTTCACATACAATTTTCCAGGTTCTTCTGCAAGAAAGCAATTAAGACAAGATGCCTGGAAATTGCAGGTACATTTCTCTGAGAATTGAACGCAAAAGTTTTTTAGAAAACTCATTTGAGTGATGACAATGATTATCATTCCAATGAAATTTAATTAAACTATTTGCTAAAGAGTCTAGAAGTATCAAAATGTATGCTGAAATTTGAAATGGAATAAAATCTGTGTGTATTAATAATAATGTATGGATGAATGTAAATGATTGTATCAATTTTTCTATTCATATTGAGTATTAAATCGAAGTCACTGTTAAGTTATTCTCACTTTTAGATTGGCATTATGGATATAGATTTATGTGGTCCTTCATTGCCTAGAATGTTTGGAGTAGAAAATGAACAGGTAAATTATTTTTCAAACTCAGCATATATATACATAGATATATATAATATATACCTTTATATAAATATATACCCATATACATACATATCTATCTATCTTTCTATATATATATATATATATGTATTATAATTATCTATGCAACGTGTGACAATTAAATAACTTATAACTTATAGTTAAGAATAATAATTCATACATAATAGATAATTCATCATATGAAAGCAAGACAGAAAAAACTAAGTTTCTTTACTTACTATTAATATCAATGCTTTGAAAACAATAGGATCCAGAAGAAAATCTTTGATGGGTGTGGAATCTATTCATTGAAATTTGAACTTCATCCTGCATTTGTAGTTCAACAATTGTTACATGAGTCACATTTTCTTGCTATTGATACACCTATTAAATTCACTTTAGTATGTATCATGTTAATTTGAGTTAAAATTCTAATGAACATATAAACGTTAAATTAAGAATTTAATGATTTAAAATATTTTTGAATACATATTGATACATAAGTAATACAAAAGGGGAAAGAATCTAGGATTCACTCATCAGGTGTGTCATCTCGAAAACCAGGTCACCTTTTTTCAGCTATGCAAACTTTCTACTGATTCCTAAATGGGTGCAACCCTTACAGCAAGAGGGAACTTCGCCAAACTCACCCTTTGGCTCACTTTATCGATGTTTATGCCGCACTTACTATTTTGGGACTCCTTGCTCTGCATCATCCCTCCCCCGCCACAGCCGAGGGACTACCGAGAAATTCATTGACGCACCTGGTGAGGAACCTAGTTCTCTAAAAGTGAAAAAAAATTAGTGTCCAAGGCAAAAGTCCATGGGTGTATGAAGTTGCGATTCCTGAAGACATCTTCTGGCACTGGAAACAATGTCGAGCTGGATCTCACAGGCTAATGTCCAAGCTAATGCTTCGTCTCTCGTAGTCAGATGTAGGCTGCTGAGTACTTTCGGAAAAAGTGGTGAAGCATGTATTTGAGATACAGCTGGTTTTGGCAACGAAGGTGGTTGTGGAGGAATCCTACCAAATGATAAAACTGGAGGAGCAGGGAAATCTGGTTGAAGGACAGGTGGAGGAACCATGTGAGTGGGAACAGTCATTGTGGCACCAACAGTAAGTAAAGCCTTAGCAAACACTTGATGAAATGATCAGCAACACTTCATGGGAACGATCAGCAGACAGTTCATTGAGACGATCAACAAACACTTCATGGAGACGATCAACAAACATTCGATGAGGATGGTCAGCACACCTCCTGGTGCAGTAGCTTTGAAACCAAGACTTCATCTTAATTGTGCTAGCAGGGAGTCCTAATTGTCGCTCTATTTCTCTTCTGTCCTCACTAAACTCTAAATGCAAGTATAAGTAATAACAATAGCTTTGTAAGTAAAAATATTAGTTAGTCTAATTGGATCAAAAATAGCCAGGGATCACAGGCCCCTGGTGAGCATCCTAGATTTCCCCGTAATTTAAATGATTTTATTATGTAAATTTATTATTTAAACTAACTTGAAATGAATTCAAACACTTGATCAGGGTGTCAGAACCAATTTACAAATTAACCTTAAGTAAGAAATAAATTATTTCATTACAACTTTTCCAGGTGATCAGACTGAAAAAATTAAAATAAACTTAACCTATCTCTTAAAAAAAATTACTCATGTTAGTAATAAATTTATCTTAATGGACAAAAAATTTATTTTACAAGCATTTATGAACATTAAAATATTTTATCTAGAACTTATTTATCATTTGTATTTAATTGTTACTGTGACGTAAATTATATTTACTAACCGGTTTATTTGTCTCCTTGAAATTTGTCTCCTTGAAATTTGTCTCCTTGAAATTTGCCTGCAGGTCTGCAATGTTTTTAGGAGTAAGATGCAAATAATTATATCTTCGAATATACGGTGTCAATCTGTTTACATGACAGTTAAAAACCTTTCGATTATTTTCGACACTTTTGACTCGATAATTCACTTTTGAAAAACGCTCTATTACGCGATATGGCCCTTCAAATTTTGGTAGTAATTTATTTGACAAACCTGACTTCTTTAAATTTGGAGTTTTTACGAAACAGAGGGAACCTATTGGATAATTAAATTTGTCGATATTTTTACCGATTTCGCTTCTCCCGATATTCTTCTCTTCTTGAGTTTTTAAATTTTCTAAAACCTTGGAAAAAATTTCGTCTAGGGACTGAATTAATTTAGTTACATATTCTGATTGGGATTGAAATTTGTCACCCTCCCCCAAACTGTAGGGCAATCTCATGTCTCTAAGGTGTTCGATAAAAAATGGAGAACCTTGTGTGCTTTCGTTAATTCAAAGTTAATTGCCAACATAGTTTGTGAAAGTTGTTTGTCCCATTCGTTATTTTCATTGCAAATTGTTGCCAAAAGATTTGCAATTGATTGGTTCGGTTTTTCTATCCTACCGTTAGCCCAAGGTGCATACTTTGAAGTGTGAATTTTTTCGATACCTTGGATCTTACAAAACTCTGTAAATTCATTACCTGAAAAATATTTGGCGTTGTCCATTACTAGATTTTTAGGACAGCCCCTGTTAACTATATAATTGTCAAAAAATGCTTTTGAGATGGTTTCTGATTTCATGTCTGGTAAGGCTGCTAAATGGATGTATTTAGAAAATGCATCTATCATTGAGAAAACGTATTTGTTCCCCGATGTAGTAGCTTTCAGTGGTCCAAAAATATCAGTTTGGCAACGCTCTGAGGGATATGTACTTTGTTCGACCATCTGCATTGGGGCTGATTGCATTTTAAAAACACTACGTCTTGATAAACAAGGAATACATGAATTCACAAAATTTTTCGTATCTTTATACATTTTGTCCCAATAAAATTTTTCATTTAACCTATTATAGGTTTTAAAAAATCGGAGATGACTTCCTATCTCTGAGTGGACTGATTCTAATACTTTAGGTTTTAAAGAAGTGGGTACACAAATTTGCTTTTTAACATCTTTTCTCGGAGATTTACTGTTCCGTTTGGACAAATGAATTAACACTCCATTTTCATCGAACAAATAATTTGGATATTCAGAATTGTTATTTTCTTTTAGTTTATCAATAATTTTTTTCAATTTAGGATCTTGGCTTTGTAAATTAACTAGTTCTGATTTTTCTGGAAAAACAATTGTTAGATTATTGACATATCGTGATAAATGGTCAGCGACTACATTGAGTTTGCCTTTGATGTAAATTATTTTACAATTAAATTCCTTCAGAGCTAGTTTCCACCTCAAAATTTTAGATGAGGGATTCTTATTGGATAAAAAACCTTCGAGAGGTTTGGGATCAGTGTAAACATTAAATTTTCTACCTATTAAGAATGTTCTAAAAAAAATCAATGCTGAATAGATTGCAAAAAATTCTAAAACTGTAGCACTATACTTAGCTTGCGATGGATTTAATTTCTTTGAGTAAAAATAAAGAGGTTTAACCTATTAAATTCACTTTAGTATGTATCATGTTGATTTGAGTTAAAATTCTAATAAACATATAAACGTTAAATTAAGAATTTAATGATTTAAAATATTCTTGAATACATACTAATACATAAGTAATACAAAGGGGGAAAGAATCTAGGATTCACTCACCAGGTGTGTCATCTCGAAAACCAGGTCACCTTTTTTCAGCTATGCAAACTTTCTACTGATTTCTAAATGGCAACCCTTACAGCAAGAGGGAACTTCGCCAAACTCACCCTTTGGCTCACTTTATCGATGTTTTTGGCGCATTTACTATTTTGGGACTCCTTGCTCTGCATCACTATTAATGAATGCCTCCTCATTTTCCCCCTTTCAATGCTCCATTTTACTTATGTATTGCACTTGAAGTTGCAATGTTTAAATGTAGACCCATTATTTGATTAATTCGAGCACCTGGGCTATGAACATGAATATTTACTAGTATGTTGTTCTCAAAACTCTTTATATTGTTCCATCTTTATGAATTTATTTATTTTCAATTCTAAGTAGTGCTATGTTGTTTATCCATGGTGCTTAGCGTTTTAAAAAAGTGCTTAAAGGTGCTTATTTTTGATTTTCGTTTTTTAAAAGCCCTTAAGAGTGTTTTTTTAGTTGGGTGGTTTTAAAAAGTGCTTTATTTTCCCTTTCCGGAAATGAGATTTTTTTACCTTGTTGATTTTGCCACATATTATGCAAAAACGTGCTTTTTGCATTGTTCTATTCAACGTTTTTACAATTCATTTAACCCTAATCCATTTCGGCGTACCATCGCATGAAAGCACCATTAATTTTACATGTTTGATGAAATACTTTCAAGTCCACATGTGCGTCTACTCTAGTGAACTGGGTTCGATGAGATTTAAGCACTTTCATGTGCAACTCTGCTGCATTTTCCAAGATATTCTCAATTTCAGGCTTGATTTTCCTTCCTCTGAAATCAAACCGAAAAATATCTTGATCTTTTTAAAATGGCTAATATAATCAAGGGAAAAGTTCTTTGTAGGAAACTAGTTATTTAATCATGATCATGTGAAGTCTTTGAAAACTGTTTTACATTTTGTTAATTTGTATAGTGCTTAAAAATATTTTTTATGTAATATAATGCACCTTTAATATAAAAATATGAAGCTCGGATGATCTACAAAGTGGATAATCCACTTGCGGATAATCGGAAATTTACTATATATATATATATAGGGAGAATGTCAGCTTTTACCAGTGAATGTTAACAATAACATATTCACTTTGGTGATTCTTGGAAACTTTTGTTATGTCTGATTTGATGATTATTTACTCATTAATATTTTAACATTCGATATTCTAATATATGATTAGGATAGATTAAGAAAGACATCAGTGTTGGAAATACTGGGCGAATGTACACCAGGCAATGGCATTTAACCTTAAAAAAAACAGTGTGGAGAATACAAGGCAAGTGTATACTCGGCAATTAAACTTAACTTTTGAAAAAAATTAAATATATCATTGATAATCAGGTGATAACAGACAAATTTTTTTAAAAGAATGCCATTGGTTGTCACCTCACCTGCAGGGTGTCCTAACACTGAAGTTTTATCGAATCAGATTTTAAAATATTGAATAAGTATTTAAATATTGACGAATAAATTAATATTAGATCTAGCATGTATTTTGGACATTTACCAAAGCAACTATGTGATTGTGAACTTTCACTGGTTAAAATTGTTGCATTATATTTTAGGTTCATTTAAGTGGTTCTGGTTGGTCTCCTGTGGTGAGTTTTTTTCCAATTTAATATTCATAAAATTCAACAATTGTGATTTGCACATTTATTTATGACTTCAGATAAAATGCATCTTTTATGGTTTACTTTTCATTCTCATGCTTTTTTAAAAAATATATTGCATTTTAAAAATAAAAATTATTAATCTTTTAAGGATTTGTGACAACTTCTTAACTTATTATTTATAAAAAGTTATTTTCTAGTGTTAAATGCTATATATATTTTTTATAAATATTGATATGTTTTCTTTTGCTTCAAGTGATAAAATAAATATTTTGAAAGTTTTTTCTGTGTAATATATTTATAACATATAGTTTCTTTGTTACCCCATTTTATTCACATCTTATGGTATTATTTATTTTTTAACACTATTTTAATTTTTTTCTAAAAATAATGAGTTTTAAAACAACTTCTTTAAATAGTTTGGTGTTATTGAGTTTATAATTTGCACTAAAAACAGTTTTTGAGCTAACTTTTGTTATTGCGACATTGAAATTTTTGTCGCTTGAATATGTTATCAACTTACAAACTTACTTAAAAAATTTATTAAAATTTGCATTTTCAATGTGATTCTTGCAAATAATTTGTCTAGTCTCAAAATTTAAAAGAAATCTTATTTTGTTTTAGTTTGTGGATGAAAACCTATGTATTATGTCCGTTGGGTTTTTGCTGTCAAGTCCTGATGAAGCAGTGATTTGGAGAGGACCAAAAAAGAATGGTATACGTGCATTTTGATTTAATATAAGCAGCTCAAGTAGAGCATTATTTTTGTATTGTTTTATGTAAATATATGTTGTTACATACATTTCATTTTGTATGATGACCTATTTTTAGCCATGATATACCAGTTCTACAACCTAATCCTCACAAATCTGATTTAACATAACTTTAAAAATTTTTTGGCTATATTATTTTCCAAGTAGGGAAGGCTTTTGCAGCAAAAACCTTTGTTACTAGATTTTTTTTATTTGTTTTAGCAGCATTTGAGGTTTAGTTTATTCTTTTAATTTTAATAATATCAAGCTTGTTAAATATTCCCCAAATTTCTGAACTGAAAGGTCTCTGTCAAGGGATATTTTCTCTGACACTGCCAAAGATGCTTCAAGGAACCCTTCTGCTGGAAACTGAACTTTTGTATTTTTGGTTAAAGAAAAACCATAACCTTAAATTAGAATCAGACTAATTAGAATCTTATAGATAAGAAGCTTAGTTTTTCTAGAAAAGTACTGAGACCTTTAAAAAGAGAGAAGTTCTGTGAATTTTTTGTTCTTTTTTTTTGTTTAATAGAATGCACTGGATTTTAGAAATATTTTCATCTTTCCGTTTACAAAAGATCCAAGGTTAATTAAACAAGATATAGTTTCAAACACATGGGTTCAACACAAACCAATTTATTACAAAATCGCCTCTAAATTTTGCAGCTTAAAGACAACAATGTACTTTTTAATACTCTAATGACAAGCTTTTTAAAAAGTAGAATTATGTCTAAAATTCAAAGGTTGTGTCATTATAATTTAATAATAAAATTACATAAGTTTAATTTAAATTTAAATTATTAAAATTGATAAACCTAACTTTGAATTTAATTTCAATTCACTTAAAAGGTTTGTGAGATATTGATTGGGGATTTCTTATCAAAAATTAAGTTTTTAATTATATTTTCATCGATTGAAAATGTACTACAATAAGTCTATTTAATAATTGTGATGTAACCTACCTACAGTTATTAGTTATTATAATAATTTCTAACACATTTTTTTTATTGTTTCATTCAAATGAATGAAAAGCTACATATAGAATGATTTTAGTATTATTAGACAAATTTGGAAGGGCCATAGAGCATACAAGCATTAAGAATTGCAAAGGAATTCATGATTGAAAATGTTGTCATACTAAATTGCATTAAAAGAGGTTCATATATAACTTTATTGTAATTTAATGATTTGGCGAGCTTTAAAGTTAGTCACCAAATCATTAAATTACAATAAAACAGCTAATACTGTACCAATTTAAATGTAATTTTCGACAATTATTACAAAACATTCAAATTAAAATAACATACGTAAATAAAAGTACCCGTTCAAAAGCATACATAGAAACTGTTCATACAAGGACATTTCTGGGCATGAGTTCTTATGCAATTCATAATCTTGGATCCATTTCCTCTCCAAGTTTGTCCCATAATTAATTTTAGAATCACCCTGCATATATATTTTATGGACACAAAATAATAATTGAGTTCTTGCACTTCGGGAAAAATATCACGGATACCCACACTTGTGACCTATGACCAACTGATCGTTTATAAGCAAAATGGCATGTTAAAGTTGAGCTAAGTTTCTCCATATACGTTATAATATTAATTAACATAAAATTGATTAAATACAGTGCTGTATCACACACTGAATTCATTGAAACATAATTCTTTCTCGTTTGTGTTTTTTACTTTACTTAGATTTATTATTTGTTTATGTATTTATTGTAACCGTGATATATTTTTGTTTTGTGTACCTGTCAACTTCAATGCATAATTAGATTGCATATGTTCTACATGGCTTCCTGCCTGCCTTTGTGTTAAGTAAGAAATATATAGTGAAAAAATGTAGAATGTGTCACTTAAGGGAATTGATTGACTTACTGGAAATATAATGTGAATAACTGTTTTTAATGTTAAAAAATTTCATGTTTCAACAACCAATCAAGATTGCGTCTCTTGCAGGTATCCCATTAATTGGTGACTTTTTAAAACTGAACCTTGTTACAGATAAGAATGTGATCCAGCCTTGATAGATTTAACCTTAGAAAAAACATTTTGGCTTACATTCATGTGTTTTAAAATATTGCATCAAAAATCATATTTGCATTGTTTACACTTTCACTTTGTGATTCTGTTTCGCTGAAATTTTCAAATTTAACTTTGCTGTTTGTATTCATATGATTCAAAATTACACATTGTGATTAATATACTCAATTTTTTTTTAAATATCACATATTAATATTTTTTTATTAAAACATTGACAATATTCTATTGATATAGGCTTCTGACATTCACTTTTTTCTAGCTCAAATCTCAGGTATTTTTTCAATTATTTAAACTGTGTATGTAACATTTTTGGTTTTCTCTTTTTAGCTTTTTGGTTTTTTACCAAACTCATCGCTGATAGAGATGTTTCTTTTTTCAAATTTATTTATTACAAGCCTTAATGTTTATTCTTTGCGACTATAGTAAAATGTGTAAATCTGTGATTTTAAAATTAGCAAGTTTAGTACTAGTTCTTGAAACAATTTCATACATTTTAGTTTTAAAAAAAAATTCTCGAATTTTTTAAACTCTATGTCCACTAAATATGATATAAGTATTAAATATATAAAGTATATTATTTTTGTTTCTTAGGTCTTATTAAACAGTTTCTGAAGGATGTTGATTGGGGAGATTTAGATTATTTACTGATTGATACTCCACCTGGCACTTCAGATGAACATTTATCCATTGTAAAATATCTTCAAGGAACAAACTTAAATGGTGCAGTCATTGTTACCACTCCACAGGTTCATAATATTTATTTTGATTTGGATTTTTATCCCTTGCTTGTAAACTAAATTTTTAATATCTTGTTTTGTGAAATTGAAGTACTTTTTTGTAGTGTTTAAAAATTACTGATACATATCAATTCTCATTATATCTCATTCTGTTTTATATATTTATTAAATAAAAATGCAAAGAAAAATATCAAAGAGAAGGAAATATATTAAAAATTTAAAAACAAAATAAAATTAAAAGAACAGTCAAAATTTGAAAGATATTATGTCATCATCAGCTTACACAAAAAGGCAAAAAATAGTGCTTTTTTAAATTTTTAATATTTTTCTATTATTAATTTTTTTTATTCTTCTTGGATTTCTTTTTCCTATTTAATTTCTTTCCCACTTTTTTTGCATTTTTATCTGATACTGGGTTATATTTACTTATAGCATTTCTATTTACCATCCTACTACTATACTAGTTCTATTTACTATTTTTATTATAAATTTTCTTTTTTTATTCATTCTTAATTGCCTCTCTTTATATATATATAGTAAACAAACTTAGTAATTTAGCTTGATAGTAATGTATTGAAGGTTTCAAAAATGTGTGATGATTTGAAAATATTAATTATAGAAAATTGGAAGATGCTAGAAATATTTGCTGCATTTCTGCTTAAGATAACTTTATTCTCACCAAATTTCAAAATTAGTTACAAAGTTTGTAAACTAATGATGCTGTTAATTGAGAAAAACTGTAAAATAATGTTTTTTAATGTTTGTTAATTACCATTTGCGTCATGGAGTTCTTGTAAATGATAATTATTTTAAAAACAAGTCTGAAGAAGAAGTCTGATAAACACATGCCTGTGCAAAAATAATTAGTTTAAATATTCTATCATTCAGCAGAAACAGTGTATTATAGTTTCTCTCCCTTCAAATCTGCCACACTAACTGTTGATTAGCTTTGTAGTTAATTATCAAACTTGGTAAGAATAAATTCCTTTTAAATATCTAAGAGTATTATAAACATAAAGGTGGCCAGGTAGTAGAGTAGTCAGCGTGTAGCCAATAGTTGTGGGTTCAAATCCTGCTCTAGTCATGGATGTTTCTCTTTGTGTGTTGTCCACTGTTGTGTAAATGTGGTCCACTCTATGAACGGGCATCTGTGGCAGTGTGGCGTGGGGAAATGTTGCTCACCTCCATAATTTAGGTTCACAGGTGACCACATGGTTAAATGAGTAACACTTGCTCCATCTTCCGAGGCAAAGTTCGAAAAATTCAGTGCTTGCTGTTAGAAAAAAAAAAAACTATGAACATAAGGCAAATTTTAAAACTTATATCTTCACTATAAAATCAGATTTTTTTTTAATCTGAATATTACTAGTTTAAAATAGTGTAAAATATAAATAAGCTTTGTTAGTATATATATTACTTCTTTACAAACACAGCCTAACAATGCAAGTGTTCATTACTGTTTTTTTTTTTAAGATTAAACAATCATTGCTTAATTTATTTGCAAGGCATTTTATTAATTTTGTTTCTTCAAGAATATTATTTTGTCATTGCATTTGTACATTTTCTGTTATTAATTTTTTATATATATTACTTGGGACCTGTGTGATATTAACAACTTATACAATCTGATCTTACTAATGTATAATAATTAACCTTGTATTCTTCTCTCCTATATATTTTTTAAAATATCTTATTTTAAGCTTTTACAATGTTGAATATTATTTACACTATCATTGCTAAAATGTATCTCAAGTTATATGAGTGAATTTTTGGAAGAATAATTCTGGTACTTTCTACTGTAAAATAATTTAAACAGATCGGTATCTTTTTCTACATTTTCTCTATTTAGTTTGATTATAAGATTTAATTGTTTCTTTCTTTTAGGAAGCTTCTCTTTTAGATGTTCGTAAAGAAATTAACTTTTGTCAAAAAGTTGATCTGCCTATTTTGGGAGTTGTAGAAAACATGAGTATATTTGTTTGCCCCAAGTGCAAGGTATTTAAGCTAATTGATCTCGCATGAATACTTCATGTGCATTTTTTTATGTGATGTTTAATAGGATATTGTTTTGGTTTTTTTTCTGCAATAAAATTCAGTGTCATTTATTATTTATATGTATATGCATAACATATATCCATGAATTGTATGCCAACATCAATTGTTTTTAAGGAAGACTTTTCTTGAACATTTAAAGTGGTAGTAAATTTCATGCTGTACTGTTTTATTTTTGGTTTAACAAATTTTATTTACATTGATTTTAACCACCATTTTTAACTGCTTTAGTAATTAAACAAAATAAGTTTATTTTAATTGTTCTTTAGCTGTCGCTTTAAATATTGTATGGAAATATGATTTCTGGGTTAGGATCTATGTGTATTTGACTTGATTAGGTTTTATATTTAAAGATTTTATTATTATCATTACAGACAGCTAACTACTCTAAAATTATCTGGAGAAAATAATTATCATCAAGAACAAGAAAAAGGAATTTAGAAAAATGTTTTGTTTAATTTGTATTTATTATATAATTCTGGTACTTTAGATCTGAAGATATATTATATCTTCAGATAAATATTTACAAACAAAATTTGACTAATTCATTTTTTTTTAAATATTCAGTCTCTAATGTTTATTAAATAACTATTTTTCTGTAAACAGGTTTCTAGTGAGATTTTCCCTGCAACTACTGGTGGAGGCCAAAAAATGGCTGAGGAAATGAATGTACCATTTCTTGGAAAAATTCCTTTAAATTCTCAAATAGGTAAACTTGATAGTAATACATATAACTGGCAACTTGTTCCAATCTATAGGAACTTTTTTATTTGAATATTTAGAATCATAGTAAATTTTATGATTTAACATTTTATTATAATAAATTTAATTAAGGATGAGTTTTTCCGACACTACATGCAACGAGCTTACAGATGTAAAATATAATAATTTTACCAAGAAGTTTTAAAATGTAGACAAAATTAAGTTTACATTAAATTGTTATTTAGTTATCACATTAAATATTCTTATGCTGCTAAGCTATAACTTCTGGGTTGGCACATGTAATGTATTTTTCTAAAGTTATCTTTAAATTTTAAACGTGCTTTTATTTAGTTTAAGTAAATATCACTGTAATTCCCTATTTTTAATTTTGTATTTATTTAATTATCATATTAGTTTAGTTAAAATAGTTTTTAGTATTATATTTGAGTTTATCAGGGTGCGCAGCTTTTTTAAAAAGTGCTTAAATGTGCTTATTTTCGATTTTCGTTTTTTGAAAGCCCTTAAAGGTGCCTTTTTCATTTGGTGTTTTTAATTTTTCCCTTTTTTGAAATAAGATTTTTCCTTTACCATGTTGATTTTCGCTTCGAATTTTGCAAAAAACGCAGTTTGCATTGTTCTGTTCAACATTTTCACAATTAATTCAACCTCAATCTATTTCGGGGTATTATCAGTCCGTAGCGTATGAAAACGCCATTCGTTTTACATGATTCAAAATTTCATAATTTTTGTCAATTGTCAAAAACAATACCAAAAGTTTTTTTTTTCCTTTTTTGACATGACGGTTAAAACAAGATAAAAACGTCAATTGTCAAAAACTTTCCAACCCTGCCTAGTTATGATATTTTTTTAAAGTACTTAAAAATATTTTTTGAGTACTTGAAAAGTGCTAAAAGGTGCTTATTTTTTGGTGAATAATTTGGCTACGCACCCTGTTTGCATGTTCTTCACTTAAAGAGACTCTTTAGCGAACATATTTCTTTATCCGAAAGATGTCCACTTTACCAAGATTTCTCTGAATTGAAACTCTGCACAAGAGTAAAATATTCCATGCTAATCAGCTAACTCTTTAGTGGTTGCATTGAAGAAAACGTTCATACAAATGTCTATTTTGTCTAGAAAATTATATAAGAAAACTAAGTACTATGTGCTCCTCCCCCCCTAAAAAACAGACCACCTTGAATAACTTTTGATCTAATGATTATATCTTCACGTTCTAGTTCTCCATTTTAATTGTTCGTGGGGGTGAACTAAAATATGCTAGTTAATTAGTGAAGACAATATTTTAAGTTCCGAAATCAGACAGAAATGTACTTTCTCTGAATAAACACACCTTTTTTTCCGCCAGATTCGGATTTCTGACCCCCAAAATATAGTGGGTAGCCGCAATTGTAACAAAAATTATTTCTATGAACAATTTTAAACTTACTATATCAGTAGTAATCTAAATATGGTTGTGTCGAATATAAATGAATGTTGCCCATCACTAAATACCCTGTAAAATTAGCCTAATTTGGATACCCAGTAGTAAATAATTTTTGATACTTTCGTTTTACTCTTTTTTGATTTTGCTACAGATATCATTTAATTGAAAAATTAAGTTTAAAAATCAGCTTAAAATTATTGCTAAAATTGAATAATATGACTTTCCTATTTTCTACAGTAGTGGTTTATGCTTTAATCAAAATCATCTAATCACATGAATTTGCTTTATTATATTTCATAGCTTTGTAAACATGAAAATTGATTGTATTTGATATTTATTTTGTAAAAAATTAAAATTGAATACATAATGATTTTATGATAAAGAGTTCTGTGAAAAAAAAACTGTAATCAGCTGTTGTAGGACACTTGATTAGAGTTTTTTTGAATATGGTTTTTATAAACCCAACTGTTTTTTTTTTTTTGCTATAACAAACAGAATCATATATTTTTTAATTAGATATAATAGTATACCGAAAAGAAATTTTAATTATTATGTAAAATATGTTCATCACCAACCACATAGACATAAAATATAAACAATGTTTTATGAGAAATTTTTTTTAAGAATAATATTTTGAAAAAAAAATCGTTCTGAACTGTAAAAAAACAAAAGTCATTAAATATTTTTCATTGCACTATGCTTGGATTTTGATAGAAAAGTGACTTTTCGTGACTTTTAACAGAAGAGTGACTGCTTCGTGGAAAGTGCAATTTCATTCTTCGGTTGTTGAATTAATGTCCCTTTAATATGATTCTCTTTTTTCATGTTATTTTGGTAATCGATTATAAAAGTACAATTGTATAAGAAATGGTATATGAAATAGAGTGGGAAAAAATTTATAGCTTTTGTTATTTTGAAGTTCATGAAAAAAGTTTTTGTTATAAGATTCTTTAATAAATTACCCTTCTATTGTTGTGTTTCTTTCATCTCTATATGGTGGATAAAAAATTTTAATTTACAACTGAAAATTTCTCTTTGCGGTATTTTTCTATATTTTTTATATCAATATTTAATAGTTTTTATATTTTCTAGGAAGAGTATTTAATATTTAACATACTATCTAAAATTTTTGCAAATTCTTTTAAATAATATAATATTTTTTAAAATCCTCAAAATATAAAATTTTTTTAGAAATAAGTGCAAAAACTTCAATTGCTTACGTTTAAGTGAGAAGTATGTTTTTCTGAAAAATTTCTTAACTTCTTAATTGGGTAAACTGAATAATGAAACTGATGAAATATTTTGTCATACACAAACTACTACTCTAATGGGCATGATGATATTTTTCGTCACGGAAATTATTTGAGGTGTGATGATTTTACATGTAACTATGAAAAAAAGTCCCTATTGTGAAATGAGTAAAACAAAAGTGACAGGTTAACTCACGACTAAACATTTAAATGCCTGTTTAAAGCACATAGTTCATAGAAAAATAAACTTTTGATTCTTTATGTTGCATAAATTTTGACTCATATTATTAAAAGTGAGAAAAGAAAAAACTAAATATGCTTACAAAAGACAAAAGAAAGGAAAAAAAACACATCTAAGTCGTTTTGTTTTACACAGTATTGTTTGAGTGAAACTGATTTGAATAATTGATCCTCTACTGTATTTAGTGTCAACTCTTTTTATCATTATGTCATGCATTAAATCATTATGTCATGCATTAATTTTTTTTAATATTTAGGTAGAGGTTGTGATGAAGGAAAATTGTTCTTGAAGGATTCAGAATCAGTTACAAAAGATATTTTAAATACTATAGTTGAAAGTATGCTCTTTGAATCATTTGAAACTTAAATTTTGAAAAATAATTAATATTTTTAAGAGTAAAGTATAGAAACACTTTCGATTCTGTACTGAGTTATAAAAAATTGCTTTTTCTCTCTATGTATGCTCTTGACCTTTACATTTTAAACGTAAGACAGAAGTAGGCATTTAAAATTATTTTAGGAGTTTCTTTATCTTTTATTACGATAGTTTTTATTGCAAAAAATATTTTTAAAGTATATTGAAAAATAAAATCATTATTTTTTTTAAATTTTTATTTTTTTAAAAACTAAATAAAGTAATTTTTCCAGTTTTTTCAAAACTCTTTCAACTTGACTAATTTTGATACACATTGCCTTTTTTTATAATTCTCACTTTCATGTTGCTTTGTAAACTTAATACTAAATAAGAAATATTTAGAATAAAAACAATTGTTTTTTCCTTTTTCTCCTTACAGGTATTAAGAAGAATTTGAACAAAGAAATGTAGGAACAAGCAATTTGAACAAAGAAAGAACTTTTTACTTTTATAAATTTATAATTTGTTCAGTCAAGTGTCTCACAATTTTTTCTTGGGTGCCTAAAAACTTACTCTGTTATAAATTGTCTGTGTATTTTTCAGACCCACAAGTTTTATGCTTTCTTTCAAAATGTGTTTACTTTTTTGGTTTCAACCAGTAGATTTTCACCATAAGAATTGATATAACTACCATTTCTCAATCTGTTGGACAAAGGATTATTTTTATTCTCTGCGATACAAATATAGTATTGCAGCCAAACGAAAATTGTCATTCTAAGCACTTATGGGTAGGAAAAGTTACTCGCTGTTCACTACTTTTTGGCAAATTTGTGAGAGAGAATAACTTTGTTCAAGATGCCAGGCCAGTTTAAGTAACCAACACTAATTGGGATAAGAACATGTTTTTATTGTTTATGTCAAATAACCAACACAAATATAATAATAAAAATATTGTGTATTCAATTAAATCTTTTAGATGTGAAATGTGTTTAGTTTAATATACAGTACACCAAAAAAAAAGAAAACGAGCCATTTTTAATGCTTCAAGGAGGTGACCTCAAATATGCTAATTAATTGGTGCAGACGATATTTCAAGTTACGAAATAAGACACAAAAGCGTACTTTTTCTCTGAATAAACATATCTTTTTTTTTCCCCAACAGATTTGGATTTCTGACCCCCAAAATATAGGGGTAACCACAATCTGGGAAATGTGGCTCCCTCAGTTTAGAATCCAAAGTTTGGAGCCCTTAGTGTTAATTTTACTTCTTGCATATTGCGCCTTAACCCGATAACTTTTAAAGCATATTGAAAAATTTTTACACACAATTATAAAATTCGTTTGTCCTAAGATAATTCCAGGCAATAAATACTTTTTTTAGTAAATATTTATTATTTTTTGCTATTTTATTCAATAATAGTCGAAACAATTTTGAATTGTAAGGTATAAAATTTTTTACATCATTTCAAAGGGTGTAATTTTACAGGGCAAAATACAAAATTTGAGCGAAGCTGGTTGAATAGTTGCTGAGAAATCGAATTTTAAAGAATTCGTTTATTTAAAATTTGATTTCTTAAGAACTATTCCATGGGATCCAAACTTTTGATTGCTCTCCTGACCAATCTATGGAGACCACATTGCGACTACCCCTATATTGTGGGAGTCATAATTCTGAATCCGTTGAAAAAACGGTTTGTTTATTCTTAGAAAGTACGTTTTTGTTTTTGATTTCGTAATATAAAATATCGTCAACACCAATTAAGATATTTGAGGTAACCCCCTCAAATCATTAAGAATTAGCCCTAGAATGTGAAGATCTGATCATCAAGTCAAAAGTTATTTGGGGGTCCGTTTCTTTATAAATTTTTTTTTGATGCACTGTACATCTTCATAATAAATATAAAAGTCTTATAGCCAATATCTGTATATAAAAAGTCTTAAATAGCCAGAAAGTTATAAATTAAATTTATTTACTTACTGTAAATTAATGAACAAAAAAGGTTCTTTTTTTTTAAATCGCATTATTTATTTTAGTAAAAGAAAACTTTTTCCTATGTTAGCATATATTTTCCTAAATTTAAGATGACCGATATTTTTGGAATTCATTTAATCAATATTAATTAGAAAAAATTTTGTATCAAACTTAGTCAATATATTCATATTTAATTTGTTAAGGAAAGTAGCTAAATATTTTTAGAACTTACCGAATTACAAATTATTTTTTTCTTCAAAACATAATCAAATCTATAAAATCATATAATGAGAATAAAATTATCTCCCAAATTTTTTTCACTTTTAGACTTTTCTTTTAATTTCTAATGTAATAATATATTAAAAATTATTGAAGTTAAATATCTCGTTTCCCTAAGCTACTAATTAAGTGACCCAGTTTAAAAACACTATTTTACTATAAATTATTGTCTTGACACTGTTTTCAGGAAATGTGTAGAAAATTCATTTTCCACAAGGAAATTTTTTTATGAGTTTAAATACAAGATTAAAATTGTTTTCAGTCAATTGGTTAATTAATAGTTAGAAGCATTTCACATTGCATAATTTGATTTGAGTAAAAAATGAATCTCACCTAGTTTCAAAGTGAATAAACAAACTACAGTAAATTCTTGATTATCCCTGGAAGTAAGTGGTGTTACAACGACAGAAAAGAGAATTACGCAAATGATTAATATAATATCGCCTGTTTGTAAATGTGTCTTATGGTGTTAGAGCAATGCTTTAATGCATTTTCTTATCCTTTTTTGGTATTTAATATTATTTTACCATTCGAAAAAAATTAGCACAAGCAAGATTATGAGAACAAATGAATTAAAAAAAATCTGTGGAATACACCATCCAAGTATATTGAAATAAGATAAGCCGACCAAACATGTTAGGGCACAATTTTGTGAAAATTTGCCTGTGTGTATATGTGATGGTGTTATAACTATGTTTTAACACGTTTCTGTCTCTTTCTCTCTCTCTTTTTAATTGTGTGTGTGTATTTTTTAGCATTAATTTGTCATTAGAAAAAAAGAATCTGTCATGAACGAAATTTTAGAACAAGTGAAGTAAAATATCCGTGGGATACATCGCTCATGTCCTAGTATCGTAAAATAAGATATTAAGCAGGCAAAACATCTTGGGACGCAATCTTAGGAAATTTTACCTGTGTGAACATTACCTGTTTAAGCATTACTTTGTCACTAGAGAAAAAAAAATAGTATATCATAAACAAAATTATAGAACAAATGAAATTAAAAAAAAATCTGTGGGATATGTCTACCAAGTATTTTAAAATAAGATATTAAGCAGGCAAAACATCTTGGGACACAATCTTGTGATATTTTGCAAGACAAAAATTTATGTGTGATAAATAATCGTGGGACAGAATTTCCTGTGAACAAATTAATAGTAGTGTTTGTCAAACCATTTTGTTTGTCCCAGAATCAGACCGTGAGTAGACTGCAAAGTTAGTGAGTTTTATTTTGGTTTATTTACTGCAACTCTTGCTAATTTTTTGCTAATAATATTTTTCTCAGAATATAACCAAATTTAATGTATAATTAGTGGTATAAATTCCATAGCATTATAATAAGATGTCAGCAGACAATGGATTCTGCTTAAAATTATAATTTTTGCTTATTATGCATCCTGTTTTGATAAAATTTGAGCACTGAAATAAGTTATTTTAATTGTGCCATAATTAATCCCAGCAGCAGTCAGTATTAACAATTGGCATCTAGCATTCTCCATTTTAACATGCCACCTTCCAGGTGAATGAGACCTAAAATTGAACTTCAAGGGGTTTTGAATTATCATTACTCATTTTAACCTATTAATGTCTGGCCATATTTTTTTCTGGGAAAAAAATTCCATCAGGGAAAAAAGTTCTTATAAAAGTTTACTTGGAAATGTTTTCAGTTCCTCAGATTTTTCTTTGGGCAATTTGTTTTTCTTTAGATTTTTAACTCCAATTTCTATATTAAGAAATAAAAGCTCATAAATTTAAATCAAATATCACTCTATGATTTTAGCTTAATCATGAAAAACTTTTTTTTGAACTATTTCCTTAATATTTATAAGAAACAACGGAAAAATTAAAAGTTTTTTTTTTCCCAATTCAATCAGAGTTCAATGTTAATGACATATGATATCTCAAATCATGTTCTTTCCTGCATAACTTAGAACTATTGTTGGAATTGCTCTGAGTGAATTACTGGTGGATAGAGCCAAATTCAGTCAGCTAAATGCCTCACCGAAGTATGATTTGCATTTCAAAGAATGTAGCAATACCTACTTGTGGTAATAAGATATAATGCTTAGCTGTGTGTCTCTATGGAGCTCTGAAAAAGATGGATGCTGAAATGCACAATACAATCATATAATAAATAAATTGTAACAAGGCAACATATTGTTAGTTAAAAGTCATAAAGAAATAATGCTAGTTTTTCAAATTTTTTCTTCCACTCCATCCGTTTTTTGGAAATTATTTTTGGAAAAACACTTGTACTTATGAGAAATTCGCGTTTTATGTTTTATAAAGCCACTTTTTCCTATTAATGTTATGTCAAAATATTTTTGTGACCGAGATTGAGTTATAGAAAGAAATTCACTTAGCTTATTACCTAAAACAAATTGATTTTTAAAACCAATTTTTTTTTCCTTTTGGAAGGTGAGGTTTTTTTTTCATATTTCACCTACTGCACATTATGATAGACTGCATAAATTCTGGATAGCACCAAATATTGAAATAAAAGCAAAACTAGTTGTTAAAAAGCAATTGTTAGAGCAGTTCTACTTTACAGTTCAAAGACATAGAAACAGACAAAAATTAGAAACCTTTCAGAAGCAATTTTGAGAATAATTTTTTTTTAATTCTCTAGTTATGCTAGATAAGAAATTAAATTATTTCGGCAGAAGCTAAAATAAACACAATAGAATAATAATAAAATTCTTATAAGGAAATGGCTGTATCTTGCACTTAGAGAAAAAATATCTGTTGCTCTTGCTTGGGCCGCAGAAAGGAGAAGAGCTAGAGGAGGATTCAAGCTTACTTACAACGTTTGATAATTTATGAGTTAAATAAAGGTCTTGGGGATTTCAGAATGGAAACTGGCCAAATTTTATCAAGGATGGAATTCGATGAACGGATATCACTAGTTGCCGTGTTTGCGGAAGTCCGGAAGAGCTGTATTAAGTTCACTGTTGTGTGTGTTTTGCTATAAGCAGTCGAGTATGTGCAGGATTCCGATAGCCTGGTAGGTAGGGCGCTGGGCCCAAGTCCAAGAGGTCGTGGGTTCGATCCTCGCCGGCCGAAGACTCCCCGTGTAGTAAATGGTGACTGATGCACGTTAAATCTGTCGAGTCTCAAAGTCCTCCATGTTCCCAGAACAAATCAATACCTCTGGGGGTACTGATCCAGGAGTTTCCTTGTCTTCTGGATTGGTTCAAAATTACAAGGCTACGGAGTTGAACATTAAATTAGGTCGGCTGTTCAACGACGGTTATAAAAAAAAAATGAGATTGAGAGGGCTGGGATAGCCTAGTTGGTAGGACACTGGGCCCATCTCCAAGAGGTCGTGGGTTCGATCCCTGCAGCCCGAAGACTCTCCGTGTAGTAAATAGTGACTGATGCATGTTAAATCTGTCGAGTCACAAAGTCCCCCCAGAGGTATTGATTTGTTTGTTCCCATAACAAATCAATAGCTCTGGGGGTACTGATCCAGTAGTTTCTTTGTCTTCTGGATTGGTTCAAAATTACAAGACTACGGAGTTAAACATTAGTAGTTGTAAACCCAAAAATTGGGTCGGCTGTTCAACGGCGGTTATAATATATAAAATAACGCTGAGAAGCAATAGCGCGAGGAGGACGATGACTCAATCACAAATAGCAAGTCAACTGCTCAAAGTGGGCATTACTTTCGATGCAGACGAGTTCATATCCCGTTCGCAGGCCTCCAATGTGGAGAAG